TAAACAGAGCTTATCTCAATTGCCAAACCCTAGTTTATAAAAATCTATGGAGAAAATCCAAAGAATAGTCTGAATTTTTGATACATTTAGAATTTTTGCACAAAATCTTAACATGGTTTTTCTGTTTGGCTTTAATATGGTATTTTCTCTTCAATTACAAGGACAGCCATCTGATTTTCATCTGAACAACACAGAGCCAGAGCTGGAAAATGTTTCTTCAAGTGTAAAGTTTGGACTTGGTAGGATGTTACCAAAAAATGTATCCACCAGACGTCACTTTTCAAAGATGAGGAACCTTGATGTAATGTGTACTCGTGTCTTGGACCATTTAGAAGCACCTGATTCAGTAGAAGAACTTTCTGAACAGAGTGAAATTAGGCTTGAGGAAAGTCTAGAGGAGTGTGCTACAGAAAATATAAGTGCAGCTGTTCCTCACTTGAATGAAAGCAAGGTCCATTCAGAGCTGGCAGAGTTGAGGCAGAAAAATTCTGAAACTACACAGTTCAAATTAAAACATAATTCTGATCTTAAACAACCAGAGTGTAAAAACAAAGAAAAGAAAGAAAAGCGCCAGAAAGGAAAATTGGAATGGCCACTTACTTCCCAACAAAGACCAAGAAAACTGAGTAAAGAAGCTTCTAAAGAAAACCTGAATTTCTTGGGTGACATCAGTGATGCTTATGACTTTCATTTGGAAGAGAGTGTCCATCTTACACCTTTTCGACAAAACAAGGAGAGCAATAGCGATACTGAAGAGGAGGACGAAGAAGACTCAACTGAAACCAATACCACTGAGTCAAGCAGTACTGCAGGTGACTCAGATGACAGCCTCTATGAGCCTTACAAGAGTAAATCAAAGAAAAGGCAAAGTTCAGTGGATGAGAACCCTATGTCATCAATCCATCCAAGGCCAAGATCTAAAAGATGTTTGGCACAGCGTGAGCAGAAGTTCTGTCACGAAGAAGAGACTGAAAACAACAAATCAAGTGATAAGTCTATTAGTAAGTACAGAAAATGTTCTGTAATTGGTTTTGTCACCTTGAAAGATAGCATTGTTTAGGAGATTTAGGCTTTTTTATTTTAGGGTTTTTTTTTAATGGCAACTAAATAGTAATGTTTTAAGAATGGTTAGATTTTTCTTTTAAGCTTGCTTACCTGAATTAACTGAACTGTCTGTAATTTCTTCACAGGGCAGCCTTCTGAGCCATCTCGTGGGCATCTCTGTGATGTTACCAATACAGCTGCAGTGCTCCCCAGCACTGGGAATGCAGAAATTATCCCTGAAGGTGAAGGACTTGAGTCTCCAAAACGCAAGCGGCGAAGCTGTACTGTTACTGTAAACTACAAAGAACCAAGTATTGCAGGGTAGGTGTCTTTACTTTCCAGTTTGATAAAAAGTTCATGATATTCCATCCAACAGAGGATTTGAAAGGCTTGTATAGATCTTGAAAATAAGATGTTAACAAAAGAGCTCATTCAAAGAAGTCTAGAGTTAGTAATACAGCCTAATTCATCTGAAATGGAACTTAATAGCTAAAAGTTATTGTTTTAAGTGATGTAGGGAATAGAACTTAGTTTTGCCTTTATTTTTTTTCAAACAGGAAACTCAGGAGAGGAGATCCATTTACAGATACAAAGTTCCTGTGTTCTCCAATTTTCAAGGTGAAAAAAGACACTAAACGACATTCTCATAAGACTGAAAAAATACAATGAGAAATTGGTTAGTTGTCTTTGAGATTTTCAGCAAAACCATGCTTCTGCCATGAAGAAAGCAATTTCCTGGATGAAATATTTTGTTGCACAGTATGTTAAATATGTGAATAAGTTCTGTGTCTAGTATTAAGGACATCACATTAAGGGTGCCTGGATTTATTCTAGTGCCTTATTTTTAATGATTGATTACTTTTATAACTGAAGTGATTCTATTTAAGCTCTTTTTGAATGGATCTGGGAGTATATGAGAAATCTCTGATGGATAAGATGGCAAATGTCATTATCTGGGTGAACTTTTAGGCACTTCAAATGTTTTGGGCAGGAGGTATTTTTAATAAGTGTTTATACAGATCTTGTTCATGTGATGGTAGTTTCATGTTGAATATTGTAATAAACGTCTTAGTCTTTGGAAACAGCTTGAAGTGGGTTGGTGATCTTTTGGCAGTTTCCATGGTTGCTTCAAGGGCACTAATGTCAGCAGTGGGTATTACAGGTCTGTGTACTCTGTCCCCATCTTCTGTGGTGGCATAAGCAGTTCAGAAGCAGCTTAGCAGCTCCAATTTGATTCTGTAGCTGCAGCTCTCAAAAGCAGCAATTCAGGCTTAGTTGGTATTGAGTGCAATTTAAAATCAACCAGACAAACAAAGCAACCTTCTCAGGAAGATTGGTGAAGGAGGCTCCACTCTTGCGGGACATTCATAACAGTTTATAAAAATTTATAAAGTTTATAAATTTATAAAGTTTATAAAACCCATAAAAAAGTCCCAGCTTTGACCAGTGACTTTCCCAGAGGAAGAGGTGCCACATCTGCGCTTGTGCTATTTGGTGCCACACTAGGCTACATATGAGAACAGTGTTACAAACTGTCCACCACTCAAACTACTTTTACTTTGTTTGAGACACACTTAAGTATTAATGGGTTTGTGAATACCCAAAGAAAAGGTACATTCCAAACACCTAACAGGGAAAAACCAAAAACTACACGTTCTTCCTTTCTTTTGTAAGACTGCCTGTACCACTTCAATAGGTGCAAGATCTCTCCCTTTCTCTAATAAAACTGCTAATTATTATTTTACTTGTAGTTTCTTCTGTGGCTTTCAAAAATAATACTAGCTGTAGCTACTGCATGTTTGAAAATCATGGTTCACAATACAGCCTTTGGATGCTTGAATGGAAACTTTACCTTTGTATCCCAAAATTCTAGTCATAGGCCCTCACCATCTCAGTCTGGGATTCTAGTAATAGGGCAATTTAAGCAGAGTGGTTGAACTATATTGGTTAGAGCCTGGTGCTAATAATGCCAAGGGTCTGGGTCCAATCCCTGTCTCAGCCATTCATGCAAGAGATGCACTTAATGATCCTTGAGGGTATTCTGTGAACCTCAGGTACTCTTTCATGAAACAAATCTCCAACAGCAGATTTCCCTTTATCAGGGAAAGAAAAAGAACAGGGTGATTGCAGAGCAGCCCAAGGCAGGGTGTGGTGGTTGGTCTGGGTGGTTTTTTTCTTACTGGATTGAGCAAGTTTGAAAAACTGAAGTGATGGAAAGCAGTCTTTCCTGATGTCAGCTGCTTTCACTAGAAGTGTTCGGTAAAACAGCTCTTGGCTACTGTTGCTACCCTCAGAACAGAACACTTTCACAGGAGCAAATCTAAGTGGATGGGGGGAAAGCAAAATCTCTTCCTACTTTAATTATCTGTCACATATTGGACAGGTGCAGGTTTTGTTGATGTGATCATAACTGACCATATGGTGATGGTACAAGCTCAACCTGGACTGTAGTTTGCTGCTACATATATTATGTATTGTGAGTCAAGGACTCTTGAAGGCAAATACTGGCAAATAGCATAATCAAAACTTCGGACAGCTAAGTCAACAGCATGGTATCTCAGTTACCATAAAGCTAGGAATGATACTTGGACTGATCACAGCTCAGCCCAGCCCATCATGAACTCAGAGGCCATTTCACGTATTTTCTGTCCTACCTGGAAGAGGCACTGACAGCACTCCTGTAGCTTCACTGTGCTTGCTTGTGAAAGTGCTTCAGTATGTATGTTTGTGTCACAAGTACCAAGTAATGAAAAAAAAGAGAGACCAAAATAAGTAGGGTTTTGTACATATATAATTTAAAACTATTCTGTACCAGTACAATATATTAATTTGACAAATGTAAAGTTCATCAGCTGTTAAAGCATTTGCAAAACCACATATTCTACCATAACTTTATTGCACAGTATCTATGAAAATATTAATTCTTAAATTAGAAAACACGTTTCAATATAGAAGAGACAATCTGATTGAAAGACTATAAGAAAATCTACTCTGAAAATAACAAAAATTCACAGGTTACCAAGCTTAACAGGTGCATCTGTAGGCCCAATCTACAAAACAGGTTTATAGCATCCTGTTCTGGCTATTAAAGAAAAAGTACTCACTGTACCCTTGTTATAGATCCCAATGTAGGTCAGACTAAATTCATACAAAACACAATGGCAAGTCCAGCATTAACATTTTGAATACCTTGGGTACCACATTTACTACTTCTAGATAGTTCCTGACATCTCCTTGCTGAATTGATCTGTGATCTAACACTGCACAGGCATTTTGCAGGAATAGATTCTTTGACACATCACAGGATTGGTTTTCTCAGTCTCATAACTTGAATTTTACCAGTGTAACATCTGTAAATATAAAACACCAAGAATGAAAGTTTAATCTGTTTTTCACAAAAGCAGTTATAACTTACAAACTCTAGAAAATGTCAAGGGACAGCTTTTTGGCCTGCACTGATATCCATTAAGGATTTAGGTGTACCTCTTAAATGTAGTGTAAGCAGCAAAATGTATATATATTATATGTATATATGAGTGTGTGTTCTTTTTGAAGATATACTAAAAGCTGTAAAATGTTAATATGTTCCTGGGTCTAAATAATCACAGTTAATATGCATTTACAATAAAGCTTGGTAGAAAATCCAGTTTACCACAGAGACAAGTATCTAAGCTCGAAGCTGTCCTATGTTGTCTTCCTTTGTGTACAATAATCTTATTTCTGCTGAACAATCTAAAGAATTTAGCAGTGAGGAGTAGTAAGTAGGGTGGATCATGAAGTGCATAAAATCTTAACTCTACTAAGCCAATTAAAATTGTCTAGTAGATGCAAAGTAGTCTCCAAAGTTATTTTCCAAAGTTATTTTGGGTACTTATGTCCTGCATAAGCCAAGTCACTATGACGTTATGCATATAGCCAGATTTTTTTCTTTTCCTTTTCTTTTTTTTTCCTTTTTCTTTTTTTTTTTAAAGAGTGGTTATGAGATTACAATTTGCAGGTAAAATATTTATCAAAACTGAAAATGAATAGAAAAACTTGCATCTATCAAAGATCAGAGGCAGTCCTTTTCCAGAACTGACTACTCTTCTCTCACAGCTTCTCAACCAGCTGAGTGTTTCTTTTAAAAAATAATATCTTATAAAAAGATTCTACAAAGAAACAAATGTTTCAGAACCCCCCCACACCTGTTGTTTTCCCTTACGATTTTCTTTTTTACTGGAAAAAATAATAAAACTTTATCAAATAGGTACTGCATTAGGTAAGCTATAACATTAGGTAAGCTATAACATCTGTTGTCTGGGAATTTTCTTCATCTTCCCAAACATGTGCAACTTCCCCCAGGTTTGTGGGGTTTCTGAGGCTGTAGCTGATAAACTTATTAGGAACATAAGGTAATCGGCACACAAAAGAAATATTCCGTAATTAAATACATTATAAAGCATTTTAATAAAATAATTTTTGTAACTTCATTATAATACATGTTTGCAAAACTAAAAGGGTTTTTAAAAGTGCTAAGTATTAAACAGAAGTTTCTTGAAAGTCCCACAACTCAGATATAGAACGGCTTTCCCTGTCCATAACATAGGCACACTATTTGGTTGTAAAAAAGACAGTGTCACTTGTCAATTAATCCAGCTTCTTTAATTTTTGTGTAGAAGAATTTCTCCAGTATATTGGCACATTTGTAGTATTCACTCTCGGGGGGGTTGTACTCTCTGCAGTTTGTAAAGACTCGCTGCAAGTCTGCCATGAATAATTTCTTAGACACGTAGTACCTGTTCTTGAGTCGCTCACTCATTGTTTTGAGATCTGCACAGAAGAAAAATATATGAACAGCGTTGGATTCAAATATGTTTTGTGTGCAATATCCCTTCAGACCGATTTGCCATTTAACATGAACAGGCAATGCTAGGATTTGGAATGGAAATTGCCTTCATCTAAGGCATGGTCCGTATTTCAGTTTCAAAAGCAACTAAGCTGCTGGAACTAAGCAATATTTCACTGTGAGAATGAATTTATGTAGAGTTTATTTTTAATTCCTTAAAACATTAAAGCTTTTTTTGTTCTGTTCTCATACTTAGAGCTCTGAGTTTCTGTGGGTAGTAGATGTCCCTAATACTCTTCTGATTGTCCTGAGACAACCTGTTCTCAGCTCTGCTGGAGGAGGCCTTAAGAGTATATGGGCAAAGAATTCAAACATCACAAAACATGTATGCTAATCTAAAATCCTTACTGCTGTGCAAACAGAGCAGAGAAGATACATTGGTCTACACTACAAGCAGGAATTGCAGCTCTGAAAAAAAAGATTAAATTTGTTCTATGCTCTACATATATTTTTATTACCTCTTCAGAGTTTATAGTTGTATATCCTTTTTAAGAATCATGTGAGAACTGATCTCCCCCTGCTTTCAGAGCATCATGCAAAACATTTACTTACAGAACATTCTTTAAGGAGTGTTCTCCTTTATACTAAAATCAGTCATCCATAAAATATGTAAATCATCTCAGTGTTCTCCACATAGTTGCTTTCCCAGTAATTCTCATCAGGCATTTAAAAATTCTGTCTACATTACAAGTGTTCTAGGAGTGAGTACAGGAATAGAAGTAGTGGGAAGTGTGCTGGATGCCTTGGCTTTTCTCACCTCAGATGCACTAACAACTATTTTTTTAGCAATGTTTGAGCCAGGCATCAGCAGCACCTTTGTGAAACTGTAACAGAAGCAGCTGAAATGAAGAAGACTTAATGTCAATGACTATTGCAAGGACAACAGACCAAAGACCTCCAATGCAAAGGAATTAAACTTTTTAACTTCAGATTTGAAAATATGGTTTTATTTTCATTTTGGTAATGGTTTGGGAGGTTTTAGGGGGTGGGTTTGTTTTTTTTAAGGGAGATTTGAATTTATTAAAAGAGAGGAAACCCTGTCAAATTGACAAGATGGGATTATTTAAGGAAAGTTTGAGGGATGCTCTCAAATACTTTTTCCAATGGTACAGAAATTGCCAGTCCCTAGTTTTGCACAGTATTTTGTGAAAGTAAAGGCTCATTCAGTTTCTATTAAGTCTGAAATTCAGGTGCCAATGCCTAAACTAGATATCCATAGACTAATTATAGCACCCATCTGAGAAGGCTGCTCAGCTCACCCTAAAGCAAATGTTGCCTGGCTAAAGAGTTAAGCTGTTCTCCTCTTAAGTACAGTGTAAGTTTGGTTCCATCTGTCACTCAGCCATACAGCTTTTGAATGGCAGTTGAAAAGGGGAAAAAAGAAATCTAAAGGGTATTGCTTGATAGATTACCTGAAGAGCACTTAAAACAGGGGTAAAAAAGCATTTATACATGAGAACTGACTTCAGGAGGTAGTAAAAAAAATTTACAGCCATACCTCTCAAAAACTACAATTTAGCCTGTACACAAACATAAAGGCAACTGTTATATCTTGTCTGAGAAACTTTTTACAGTATCAATATGCTGGCAGGGAGAGCACAAAGAAATCTGAAGTTAATCACGAATCAAGGCACAGTTTATTCATGCTGGGTACCTTAGCTGAAAAAAAACCAAAGCAAAACTAAACCAATGACCTCAGCTTAATCCTCAAAGTAAACTCCTGCCCCTGCCTCTAGTGTAACACACCTGAACAATGAAAGGACAGACAACATTCCTACTTGGAGTTTCTCCTCAGGTAAGTTATTTGTAACCACTGCTCAGATTAAACAGATTTCTGAGCTAGATCTGCTCAGAATAGCAGATAGAGAAAACTCTGCCACAGAACAGGATTCACATTCTTTTTCTTCATTGGTAGAAAATAAATTTGTGTTGGGGATACATGAAGCCAGCAATTGGTTTATAAAGTATATGTACATCTGCTCTTTGGGAATGATAAATTGAATATAAAAAAAATAATTAAACTAAATCGATATACATGGGCCTGGATTCTATGCAAAGCAACATGAACAATTACTTTTATTCTCTGAGAAACTGATGGCTAGTAGCCTGCCATGAACCTGTATTTCCTTCTGTAACAATATTAAAGGGTTCAGAAACTGGAATCAGAATGATAGAGGTGAGCCAGAGTTCAGTTTTAAATCTGGTGCAGTACAAACCAAGCATCCATTCAGAGTATCACTGAATTATCATTGAAATTATATGTCCCAGAAGTCAAAAGCTGGGTCATAAAAGACACAGTCAAAAGAAAAACATTATTAGCAGTTGTGTACTTCTCTTTGCAAGCAATCCTACATAAACAATAGCTGTGTTACTTATAAGTGAAAATAAATAAACAAATAAATATAACACCTCAGACAACTGTGGCAGATCTAAAAGACAAAGATAAAAGTTAGCTTAGAATCAGTTGCATGAAGCATTTTCCTAAACTTAAATTGGAGCAAAGTGTTAAGACTTAGTTAGAAAACCCTGTGACCTTTGAAAATGTTTTCTCTATGTGATTTAGAAATCTTAAATCCATATTTTAAAGCAACTCAAATGCTCAGATGTTGCTGAAAGTTTGCCTTCAGGTTTTTAACATATGAGTAGGATCTGCAATGACCAGTTAACCACACACAAGAACATAGCCCTGCAACTCACCTACACCAGCTCAGTCCTAAAAGCTTCTAGCTGACTGCACCATTTAGGAGCCTGTTAGGGTTCTCTAGGGCACACTAAGGTTTCAGGTAAGTACACCATGCATGTTTCACAAAGGTCACAGAGCACTCATCAATTTCAAATGACAGCATCACACCCTTGACACTTCAGAGCTGCAAGGTATTCAGCTGCAAGTAACACGTATCTTTTACCATAAAACAATCAGATTAAAATTTATCTGCTATGTCTGCAGCTATAATGATTTTTAAACTCTACTTAAAAAATGTTAATGGCATTACCCATGGGAAACCTTATAACTTCATAATATCCAGGAGCTTCTGTTCTCTTCACGGGTTCCATGAAGGGCCAAGCGCTTTGATGGCTCTTTGGTAAAGAAAAAAGTAAGGTATCTAATATGGAAACTAGATATTGGAAATAATTTAAAAATCTTTACAGAAAGTAAACTAGAACTGGAACTCACCTTCACTTGCTGCAGGATGGTTTTTAATGTGCTGTAAAGTTGATCTGGATCCTTGGCCTCCTTACTTGAAGGAAAACATGAATACAAAAACATTAGTTTGAATCCCTTATCTTCGTTCCTACAATTTGCATCTTACCTAAAAGCAACTCCAAAGTTTCAAGAATTTTATGGAAGAAGTAAATTTTAAAACAAGCAAACAAACCCACACAAAAATCCTCAAAAAAGAACCCCACTACCAAAACCACACTTGCCCACAATAAAAAAATAAAACAAAAAATACCACCAAAAAAGACACTTAAGAACTTATCTCTTGCAGATTATTTGATTTCCAGCGGATGGAAGGAAATATCAAGTGATATTGTCTAAAGACTTTTCTCAAAGGAATATCCCAACTGCTTCAACATTTTACTTTCTGTAGCACTTACCCTCTTTCTTTTCCACTTGGTTTCCAGCCAGTCTCTCCTGTACACCAACAACATGAGATATTATATAGGAACTACAGTAGGTCAAAACATTAACTGAGTTATTGCAACTCAAAGAAGAAAAGCCATTTCAGCACTACTGCAGTAAAATGCATTTGTTTTAATAAAAGCTACTCCTAATAAATAATATAACCATCTAGCCCACAGCTCCATTCAATTTTGTACATGCATCTTCCTCCAGACTGCTGAAAAGATTCTAAAATATTTCTATATGAAACACACTTCTTTTCAATAATTCAATACATATTTTACTGCAACCCACCCCTGTAAAGAATAATCATGACAAAGTTATCCTATCTGATTCCTCAGGGACAAAGAATAAATTGCAGAAAAGCATAGCTGAAAAAAAGTCACCCAAAATATGATACTCTTTTTTTTTTTTTTTTTTCCCTGTTTTGTCCTGTAAGTTCATGCCTAGCATAGAAATCATTGTTGTTCAGGAGTGCAGTGCATTAAAATGGTGCCAGGGGGAAACTGCCGCCTACACTGTGATACAAATCAAAGAGGGATCACATATAAGTAAAATTATACACACGTACATAAAAGAGGATCAGCCTGGGATGCCTTGGGGAAATTTCAAAGACAGCAGTTGTAATGGAAACACAACAATCTTCACAGAAATCAAATCAGCAGACCAAAACAATTACATTCTAATCAAAAAGAACTATGTGACTACGTTGGTATTTCTAGTCTTGGATCTTTCTTGGACTATTCTGCTTCTGTTCTACATTAAAAGAGATTGATACATACTAATTCCAGGAATGCTTTCTATAGGAATCTGCCGTACTCCATCTTTGAAGCAAGAAAGGCCAGGATAAACTTTTCTTATTTGAGCTTGCTTCCTTTCTATGAGCTTTTTAATGATCTGTAATAAAGCAGCAGAGAAAACAAAGAATAATTTATTTGGTGTAAAGTAACCCAGAAGATTAATGCAAAACTGTGATGAACAGAAACATTCTCACTTCCTAACCTTGGAGTCCTTTTCCATGAAGCTGGTAATGGGGCTGAGCTACCTGACCAAATACCGATTCTGCAAATGAAGTTAAGTCTCTCAGCTATTTTGGCAAAATTAGCAAAAAAAAAGAATCATTGCTAGTTCTACTGATCACAAGCTGCACAGCTCTTGGAAAGACAGGAGCAGAGGCAGAGAAGGAAATTTTCTGAAAGAAGGTTTGAGAACTGGCTATAAAATTTTAACAGCTGCAGCTTCTGAAATTCTTCAGCACAGCTGGTCAAAAATTTCAAGGCACATATTGAATGCATGCATTTAGATGTACATATATGTTCATATTCCAAAATTTTAGAAACAACCCATTCACTTCAAAGACTCCATATATCTATCTGTAGGAGTTGCTTATGTATTAATCAAAGATACTCTCATGAAAGATTTTCTCTGGAGGATGCCAGAATGATGCCACTCTTCAGAACAAAAATTCTACTCTCTTTGTAAATGCTAGGGAAAGGCTTTTTCCCACTCCTAGATATACCCTCTTTTACTTTGCAATCTTATTACCTCAAACTCTAAGCAATTTGCTTTGGTGTTCTTGATACCCACTTAGATACTTATCTAAGCTTTGTGTGTCCTGGATATGTGACTTTCAAAACTTTATAACTTGAAGTAAACAAATGTGCAGCCATGCAGACCAACAGTTTGATAGAATATTTTCTATTTGAAAATTATTTCATTTGAAATAATAAAAATTGACATATTTTCATTTTTAAGGACCTTCACTCCCTCATACATAGTATTTCCTCTCAAAGAAGAGAAAAATATAAAAGCAGACTTTCAAAAGAGCTTAGAAATGTTAAGAGGAATACAGTATACAACAGCACTATGGCCAGATTCCAGCATAATACAAAAATAATTTCAAACTAATTATTAAATCCAACTTAAGCCCTTCTTATAATTTAGGAACTAGTGTCTCTTCCTGATTAAAGCAAGCTGTTCAATCAGTGATTACTCACAAGTCAGGAGGTCACAAAACTTTGCATAGAGGGACTTGTATTTTTTAGAATGACTGTAAACAAGCTACTGGTAGAGTATCAGGTGATATGGTCTTAGCAGCCATAGGCATGTACTCCAGTTCTTTAAATAAAAGTTTAGACCCCATGAAAAATTTCACTTTAAAAAGTACAGATCCTGAAATGCCTGATATCTAGTACTGGGAAATAGCAGGATTCAAGAAAATTGGTACATAATACAAACTGTCAACACCCAAAATTATTTTTATGTCCAGGTAGCGTTTTCACTGCCTTTGATATGCACAGACAAGCAAACACTCTTCATGAAGCTGCAGACTGTGAGGGCTATTTCTAAACTTCCTTGCAACAGGAAGAATAAAAAGGCCTGATGGGTATTTTCAATGTTAGGCAGGCAATCCTAAAATGCAATTCCAAAGCTGTATGTAATTATTCTCAGAGAAGATTGATAATACAGATCAGTGCAAAACAGCAGCTTTCTTCCTAATAATTTTACATATGAGATGTCTGGAGGACCAAGTCACTTTATCTACAAGAGGAGTGTCTCCAAGTTCTTTAGAATAATGTCAACACCCTAACAAATAAAACAGTGAAAAAAGCTAATAAAGCAATCCCAGAGGCAAAATTTTGAAAACTAACAAGTTTTCAGGAGTGGCAGGTCATGTTGATGGTTTGGGCCTGAAACTGTACTACTGCAATTAGGCATGCCTGAGATGTAACAGGCTACAAGAGACACATCCACTATCCACACTGACAACATCCCATCCCTAAGGGACAGCTGGCATGTCCAGCAGTAGCCTGGAATCTGAAGGGTAATGCAGCCAAGAAATGAAAGAAATTTTCCCCATTTCAGAAATGAAAGGGGAAAAACTTATGGTCCCTGTTGTATGGATTTAAGAAAACTTTCCCAATAAGTAAAGTTAAAAAACCTCGTAAATTAAATGTAAAACCATCAGATAGTGTCTTTCCCTCTCCAATCACAGGCCAAATCATTCTTTTGGAATAAAAATGATTGTTCCATAAAGAAGCATTTTAACAAAATAAAGGGTCAGGTTTGAACAAACTTGAAAGAACAAATTATAATTTATATTTCTTTAAAAACCAAGGGAGATATTTAAACACAAGTGGAAACATCATAATTATTTTGCCAATAAACTGCCTTATTATACAGAATATTATTAAGAACTAAATAAAGAACATCCCACATAAAATCCAAAGAGGGATAGACTGGAAATTAAGACAGTTCACCCTTGATTTTTATATTTAAAAAATAGCACAAAAAAAGAATCTTCTATTTTTCAAATAAAACAGGACATGCAACACAAACACTCCATTTAAATGTAGCTCTAATGAACACTACTGATATGGGAGGGAAGGAACTGACAAAGCCTTAAAAAAAAACAATCTCACAAGATTTTGCTTAGTTAACTACCACAAAATTGAACTGCGAATTACTCCTCAAAATACCAGTACTTTAAGAGTCTTGTTCTTGTTAAGTCAATTAGAATTTGATGTTTCAACTACAAAATTTTGGCACTGGGGCTTGAATGAAGGGATTATTCTAACTAATAAAAGTATGCATTCAAATTTAAGCACCAAAGCAGAGAGCTAACCTGGCACCCACTGAACTGCTTCTAAACATCTCAATAGAGGGTAACATTAAACATTTCATTTCAACTCTCACCTCTTTTTGCTTTTTGATGATGACAGAAAATTCGGTGTAGGGGATCCTTGGATTTAATTCACATCCCATTAATGTGGCACCCTCATAATCCTTGATGTAGCCAACATATTTTGCTTTTGGTACTTTAATATCTTTGGAGAAACCCTGACAAAGAAAGAAAGAAAGAAAGAAAAAAAAATATATTGTCATCATGCCATTTTCCTTTTAGTTTTGTTTTAACTGAAATGAATGAGGATTTAGAGCCAAATTCATCATAATGCTAAAAAACAAAAAATACAACAATAGTTACAGACCACAATTCAATGTTGCAGAAACCTTCTCAAGGGAGGCACTTGATAAAAGAACAGTCAACTGCTAAGAAGGACTATACAGGAGATTGTATTCATTTTGAATGTGTGAAGAGTTAATTGTATCAGTTTTATATATAGAACCATAGAACAGGTTGGAAGGAACTTGGGGAGGTCATCTAGCCCCATCTCAGCTCAGAACAGGTCTCATCATATCTGGCTGATCTAGGCTGTCACCAGTCTTGAAGACTGAAAAAGGACAGAGATTCCACTGGCATCTCCCTAGGCAACATTTTCCAGTATTTCACCACCCTCAGGACAGGAAAGGAAAAAAAATTTCCCTTCTACCTAGTTGCAATTTCCCACTATCCAGGTCATCTTCACTGCCTAATGCTGTACACCTCTGAGAAAAATCTGACTCCATTTTGCTGACCAAACAGTTGGCATGTGTTTATCAAATCTAATTGACAGAATAGACATTGCCATCTTTCCTGAATTTGAACCTTCATGCTTCAAATCAGGAGGAGCTGCTAAGTGCAGGTCAGGTAAGTTTTAGTCTGTCACAGATATGCTTAGTCCTTCTTTATACTTCTTATAGAATCAGTGAAGGAACTGACATTTTACTAGTTCTTAGACTAGATAATTATAAACTATACCATATACTTATATGCAGGTGATTCTATCAAAGTAAAATGTATTAGAAGCTAAAAACATTGCACAAGATGAACACAGAGCACATTTTACAGATTAAAAATATACATGTAAAATTGCACTATGCATTTTATCCAATTACTTTGTCATGCCTAGTTACTTAGTTCATCACTGCTAGATATAAAACTTCCTGCAAGAAGTAATTTCTTGCAATGAACTTACTTGTTTCTTGAAGTAGCCAATAGCATATTCATCTGCATACGTGAGAAAGTTGAGAATGTTGTGTTTGATGTGGTACTCCTTCAGATGGTTCATTAGGTGAGTCCCATAACCCTGTGTGAAACATGAGGAAAAAGTCATGACAGAGCCTTTAGGGCCTGCACATACCAGAACCTGTTATGTTTAGACCAGGGTTATTACACACAATTTTTCAAAATGCAGTCTTTCCTCTAGATCCTGTTTCAAAGATATTCTCTTAATTAACTTGGTGTTGCACACTCAAGAGCAAACTCTTTTGAGCCTTGTAGGGGTATCTTTGTGACCCAGCATGGAAGTTGTAATTCAAGGTGCCCACCGTTTATTTTTTTTTGTTCCTCTTTTAAATTAGATATCAACCATTAAAATCACATACTACACCAATAACAAAACTGCACATGCTGCAACAATAGAGCATCCTTTCTGAGCCATATCACATCAAAACTACAAAGCAGTAGCAATATTGAAATTATTCCAGTGTTCTGTGCACCTGTAGCAAAACCGTCTCTGCCTCAAAAGATTTATTATCTAAACTTATCATAAAGCATAAAAAGGAACAGTGAACAATTGGCATAATAAGGAGCAGAAAATTATTGAGTTCACAATCAAATAAATATCTGCACCTTCTGACTGCACACAGGCATGATTTCCATTTAAATTTAGCCCCAAAGTAAACAAAAGGTTGCATTTATTCACACTGACAAGTAAGCCATAGTCATCCCCTCCTGCTGTGATATGAAGAAATATCAAGTAGATAGGAAAGCCCATAATAATGTTTTGTTCCTGCATATCTTCCAACTTTCTCATCATGCAGACTAACAGGACACTTAGAGAAACATACATGGATTTCTTTTTAGTACTCTGTTCTTGAAAACTGGGAAAATTTTTAATGATGTAATAAAGTCAGAAAAATAAATTAGAAAATACAAACTTCTGATTTTATTTACATTTTAATAGCCCCAAATATGGCAACTGCCATTTAGGAAACTAAGCCACATCCAGTAAAACTTAAAATTATTTTGCAACAGGGGACCAAACTACCTAAAAAACAATTCAATTTGTATGGGAAAACTATTCCTATATTTTTTTACTCAAGCCTCAAACTGAATTAAAATAGGAATTTATTTTTCCTAAGACTAGGCAGGTCACCCATGTGTGAACTTTTTTTTTCTCGGTTATCTGTTGACATGGTCAGCTTACTCAGAAAGAAAGGTGGGAAGGCAAATTTTCAGAAACACTCAACTGATATAGCGAAGCACACAGAGGATAAAAGAATAAATAGTGTGTTACACAACCCTGGAGTCAATCTGATGGGTCAGAATTATCTGCTCTATTACTGTGAAAGATTATTCCTAGAAAATCACGACACACCTTTGGCAGCCTCACCTGTGTAGTGCAGTTAAGCACAACTTACGCATATTCTGTTAGGGTTTGTATTTGCTAAATTACTCTTAATGCTGACAGGTCACCGCTTAATGTAGTGAAATGCTCCTTTCTAACACCAGAGTTGAATAAAATCAAATATAACCTGATATTAGTGGTTGTTACAGACTTTCAATCCCACTGTGTTACTCTTTTGCACCAGGGTGTACAGTTTTTGTATGTTATAACTGTTACATACTCTGAATTAACCTACATCTCAGCTCTTGCTACTTGAACTAACAATCATGAAGCTACAGCACCATCTAAAGGCAAAACAGTGAACCAAATGGTGGGAGTTAGATCAACCTGTAGTAGCTGGAAACCCTGGAGGAATCTCATGTATTCATAGTGCTCTGCATTCTTTCAGCACAGATGCCAATTGTCAACATTCTGATAAAATTTTGTGGCATTAAGTCAAATAAGAGTGTACAGAATAGACCCTGTGCTTATTTTGAGATGTAAAACCTAGTAAAAAAAAAACTAGTAAAAAAGTCCAATTTTTTATTATATCTCATTTAGATTAAAGTCATGTAATGTCACAAAGTGACTGAACACAAATTACTGCCCCACACAAGCAATATGTATTTCAGTCAACCATGAGATGTTACACTACACAAAGACACAGCTACTGGCAAAAGAGGCATGAAAAGTCCAAGAATGGCAGGCTACTGCTCTGCTGAGAAAAATAAATACAGGTAATCCTAGAATTATGATGATACTTATAAATCTGCACTTTTTAATTTGGTTTTTGTGTATTAAATTCATAACTGCTGTATGTTTCAAAATCTGTTTCTGTCTGGAAACTCAGCAGTACATTCAACATGACTAAAAATATTAGGGGCACATGGCAGAAGGTGAATGGGACTCAAATCCACTTTAAAAACACTTATAATATAGAATTCTTTTTACCTTGACTTGCTCATTGGAAGTCACAGCACAGAAAACAATCTCTGTAAATCCTTGGGAGGGGAACATCCGGAAGCAGATACCACCGATAACACGACCATCTTTTATTAATGCAAGGGTTTTATGTTTCCTGAGCAGACAAAAATAACAATCACTTAATTCATGTACATAGTACATAAAGTGCTATTAACCTTCCTTTTTTCAGAAACTTGATTCAATTCTTTCCATGATGATAATGCAATTGTATATGCCTCCTAAGTTAGCCACTGGTATCTACAGAAGCGTTGTTACTTTAATATCATGCTTTCAGTATACCATAAAGGTCATCATCATACATAAAGCAAGCTTTTGGCCTTGCCAAGTACTCTGAGATACTCGGGTAATGTCCGAAAAATAAAAGTTGTATTGCCTTCATTGAATCCATTGCTGATAGTTACACCATTGCACAGTTCTCAGGATGGTTTTACCCTGAGTAAATTGGAAATTAATGGAGTTACAGGAGAGCAAGTCCTTTCTAATGGATTCCTGTTTGCTTGCATGCACTCTCCATAGTTAAGTTATCAGTATCAAATGCAGCTGATGAAGTAAGAGAGGACATTTCTTATTTCTGATCACCCACTCCTCTGAGAATCAAGACCAGAATAAATATCCATTTCTCTTGCACTTATAGTGGCTGCCAGGAAAGATGTAACAAGGTGCAATCTCAACTCTTATGTTCTTTTTAAGGAATTTTAGTATAATCCTCAAGGTGTGAAAACAGTGCACTTTTCTTTAGATTATTCAATACACAGTAGCATATAAATCATATAAATTATATAGTTAATATACAGTATACAGATGATGTATATTGAAGTTATATTGTATGTGCCACCATTTAAGAAGATTTTATACACATTATATATTCTTTTTGTCTTGTACTTATTTCAGTGCATTTTACTTGTGGAATGACAGCAGCAATGCAGTAGGTTGAGCTTTTGTAGTGGTTTTTGTAGTGGCTGGATGCCAGGTGCCCTCCAAAGCTGCTCTGTCATTCCTCTTCTCAGCTGGACAGGGGAGACAAAATGTAATGAAAGGCTCATGAGTTGAGATAAGAGCAGGGAGAGATAACAATTACCACCACAGGCCAAACAGACTTGACTTGGGGAAATTAGTTGAATTTATTACTGAACAAAATCTGAGCAGGATGATGGAAAGTAAAACAAATCCTAAAACTACCTTTCCCCTTCTCCTTCCCTATTCTCTACCTTCTCTCTCAAGCAGCACAGGGGGATGGGGAATGGTCAGCTCACTACATGTTATCTGTGTCACAGTTTCCTCCTCAGGCAGAGGAGCTCTTCCCCTGCTCTACCATGGGGTCCCTCCCATGGGTTCCTTCAGGAACTGCATTAGCACAGGTCCCTTTCCATAGGGACACAAGTCCTGCCAGCAAAGCTGCTCTAGCAGGTAGTGTGGGAAACTCTCTTCATAGGGCTACAGGATCTGCCAGGAACCTGCTCCAGGGTGGGCTTCCCACAGGGCCACAGCCTGCCTTCACCACCTGCTCCGGCATGGGGCTCCTTCACAGGCTGCAGAGGGACACGAGGCTCCCCATGGTGTACCATGGAAGGTTAAACTGCTGGAGCAGTTCATGAAGAACTGCAGCCTGTGGGAAGGACCCATGTTGGAGAAGTTCATGGAGAACTGTCTGTTGTGGGAGGGACCCCAGACTGGGGCAGGGAGAGAGTGTGTGAAGTCCTTCCCTGTGGAGGAAGAAGCAGCATACAGCACATGGGAACTGACCGCGGCCTCCATCCCCCAGCACTGCTTGGGGGAGAAGGAAGAGAATCATGAACGAAGCTAAGCTTGGGAAGAAGGGAGACATGGGGCAAAGGTATTTTAAAATGTAGTTTTTATTTTCTCATTATCCTATTCTGATCTGATTTGTAAAAAATTAAACTTATTTCCCCAAGTTGAGTCTCTTTTGCCTGCGATAGTTATCAATGAGCGATCACTCCCTGCCCTTCTATCTGAGAACTTTGTACTTTCTCTCCCCTGTCCAGCCAAGGGGGGGAGAAATAAAACAGGTTTTGTGGGAATCTGACATCCAGCCAATGTCAACCCACCACAGTCCCACAAGAAACTTATTATTAATACAGCCACCAAGATGGCATTTGGGTACAATCCAATTAGATTGACCAGGAGTCATGAGAGCTTGAAAAGATGGCAAAAGTGTAGCACAGGCAGAGCTGCTCTCCACCCCACCTTTGCTGCAAACAGCACCAGACTCCCTCTGCCTCACACGCCAGCCCCCTCTCCAAGGATACCCACGGATCAAAGACCAAGCGGGTGATGTATTCCTTCGGCATTCGAGGCAGCTGATGGGAGAACACATTCTGCAAACCAACCAGCCACATCATGATCTTCTTGTTGGGCTTCTGGTTCAGGGAGTTGCCAACCACATGGAATTCAATCACGCCCCTGCGCTCCTCCAGCCTCGCTGCCTCGTCCCGGGCTGAGTGTGCCGAGAGGAAGTTGGTCTGTATCACACAAAAGAGTAACAAAATCACAGTTTTGAGATTTCACATCCTCTGACAAACAAATTAAACCCTCTCTCTTTTTCCAACAGAACTGCCCATGACTTCCTTTGTAATGTACCTTTGCAGAAGGGACACCATCAAATAAACCTGATGTAAGTCTACACTACAGTCTACAAAGGCCTATCTGATTTTGTATTGATACAGATTTAGATAACAACAGATTTATATTGATACAGATTTAGATAAAAATGGTTATGACTCAAAAAGTTCCAAAACCTCCTGAGGGATAGCCCTCATCCAGTTGAGGTCTACGCCACTAAGTCTTCATATTCTCTTTAGTCTTAGCCAGCTTGGGCATGAATTGTGGAATCGCCTACACATACTGCAAATCACACATTTTAATGGTGGTGCAGGAAAAGTCATATTCCTTTTTATTTTATTAGTGCTTTCCAGTATCTCTGCCACTACTGAAAGACCCTAAAAAAAAAAATAATTAATTCCCACAGAATTTGCTGTTACATATCTAGCAATTGCATCTATATAACTAAATGCAGATTAAATTAATACAGAAAATTTATTTAACTTATTCTTTTCAAGATTTTACAATGCCAAACCATCTCTGTATGCACATACTGTTTACTTTTTTGAGCAAAGTTTGGCTGCTGGGTTTCAAGTCACTGCCAGCCCCAACAGCCAGGCTGGCACAGCATTTGTAATATGCAGAGCCATCAGTCACAGTACATAGTTTGAATAAGAAATGTAGGTGGTTCCAAATCTTCAGCAGTGTCTAACTAAATCTTGGCAAATGAGCTGCTGGCAAAACATAGCCTGGCAGAGAGAACAGAAGGAGGAAAAGCCAGCCAAGGAAAAAAAAGTGCAATTCTGTACATGGCACAATTCTGCATTTCTGTTTGTTTTTCTTTTCCAGCCGAAAAAAAGAGCAACTGGGGAAGACAGCAAATAACTGTTTAGATCAGTTTCTGCACCAGAGAGAAGTTTTAACTTCGGATCTTCCATTCTGCTGCAATTCTTGAACCCCATTCAGCAGTATTTTTTGTTCACCTAATCATACTCTTTCAAAGTCTATTTGTCTTGTCTTAGCTTATCACATTCTATCCATGTGGAACATTCACTACAAACAGGCCACTTAGAAACAGACCATTTGCAACACCGACTCTATATCTCACCTCTGGCCCAAGCATTGCTGCAGGATCTGTAATTGTTGACATTACTTCGTTGATTAACTCAATAGGGATATCTCCTACAACCCTTGGTCTTTTAGAATCCTCCAGAGAATAGGGCTCATTATTTTTTCTCTTTTCCCCTATAAAACAAAACTTTGAAAATTAGAAATAACCAAACTGTCACAGACTAGCACTATGAAGTCTAGCACTTCTGTCATATTCTGTAGCTTATATGACAAGTTTGAGGTTGGGTTATCTGGTCTGGTTTTTTTTTGTTTTTTGTTTTTTGGTTTTTTTTTTAATCTCCATAGACAAAGAGAAAGAGAAATAAATGAAATCTGAAAAATACCACTTCTCAATTTTCACTTTGCACTGGGGTATTAGCATGAAGCAGGAAAAATGTACCTCTCCTTCCTCTACACCTCTGTAAACTCAGTTTTAAACTATTTGCTTTTTCTTTTTGTTTCAAAATCCTCTGCATGGAACCTCTGTGCAGCTGGTTTGGAAGGTCAGTACTCAATATACAAATTGCAGCACTTATTTATGGATAGCATGAAATCCCCCTTTTAGGATTCACTGGAACTAAGTATCTGTCTTAGGTTGCAATACAAGATGTAACCAAAAGTATGTATTCTATTACCAGCTGTTAAAAACAGGTGAGGCAGTGTTCTTTATGTCTTCCATGACCCATCCTCCCTCCAGAGGAATATCTGCTGTTAATGGGCCATTGAGTCTCACTGCATGACTGATAAAATCACATCATCCCTTTGTGCGATGCTCCACCCAGGGGGAGGAGCCAAGCATTCCTACCTGGATATAATCGGAGCCTTGGAACACCACAGACAGCCTTCTTCCACTGGAATCCCAGAGGAAGACCGGACCCATCTACACCACCACTGGAGCTTCAGAAGAAAACCACACCCTTCTACAGGATCACTGCTTCAACAGAACCACATCTGTCACTCCAGGAGAGCTGCAGCCACCATTTAATGATACTGCTACCAACATCCTGACCAAATGGGTGTCAGGTTGTATTCTGACTCTGTCAGTGGTTTTTTGTACTGCTGCATTTTATTTTAATTTTCCTATTAAGTTGTAGGTTTTTGTTTTTTTTTTTTTTAAATTTACATGTACTGGTAAAGAACTTTTATTCCTAATCCTATATCTTTGCCTAAGAGTCCCTTAATTTCAAAATTATAATAATTCAGAAAGAGAGAGTTTACATTTTCCATTTCAAGGGAGGCTCCTGCCTTCCTTAGGAGACACCTGTCTTTTCAAACCAAGACAGTACCCATCATATATTTCTTTCACCTCTTCTGTAAACCCAGCAGCACATACAGATAAATATACATACATATGTATGTCATACATATTTGAAAATCTATGTAAGATTTCCAAATCAAAATATACCAAGTTAATTATTAGCTGCCCAACTGACTGCAGAGACACATGCATTATATAGCACAAGAAACTAGTTAAATTCATAAAAGAACAGTCCACCAAGGACTAGCTGAGGTAAATAATAAAGATCCAGCTGCATGCTCAGGATTATCCCACTCATCATCCTACTCCCTACTCATTGCCACTTCTGAGGGACAACTTGAGAAATTACCTTACAGAAAACTGCAGTTTAGGAGCCACCCCAAGTTTTTCTGTACTAAATACTGAGACTAAAAATTCACTTTGGTTTTGGTTTTTCTCCTTCCTTGAGGACTCACTTTACATAAGCTTGGGATCATCTCTCTGACCTAGCAACCTCTCTTGACAGGCTCATTAATCCTGAGGTGCTTGAAAAATGATTTATTAGGAGAATTTATGCATCACCAACTATTTTTCTTGCAAGGTTTTTGTTTGGTTGTTTTTTTTTTTTCACCTAACCTCATTCAGGTTTTAAATTTAACCTGGTTGGTGTGTCTGTGTTTTTCTTCACTGTTTAAATGTATGCATTTTCACTACCTTGAAAGATTAAAATACCCAAATGTGATGGCCCCTTCTACTCTGCCATTATTTAAATGAAACCTCTCCTCATGGCTTATAATAGATATACTCCAAGAAAGCATATTTTTCAAAAACCTCTGACACCAACATACCTTTCCCCATTTTAAATGAATTTAAACAAACCAATTGTTTTTTTTTTGCAAATACAGCTGCCATTTCTGTAAGTTAAACTTTACTGTAGTGGAGAAAAAGGTATGCGTGTGCAAATCTTTCATCAGAAACACCTCAAGTTTGCTCATGTAGAGTGAAGACAAAGGTTACCATATACTGCAACTACTGATAAGATCAACATAAGTCAAAAGGCGACACTCCTTCTCCATTACCTAAGTTTGGGTCAAGGGCAGAAGAAATTTTACAAGCTGGACTCATATTCCCACTGTTGGATTGCTCCAGAGATGAAGGACTTGCACTGTATGCAACAGATCTTGCAACAGGAGGTGGACTGATAACTGCAACGACATAAAAAACAAGCACAAAAAAATCAGGTCACGGAACCCATTCTGGAAAGACTGTCACAAAGATGGACCCCCACCACCCAAAAAGTAACAGTGAACACTGTGCAACAGAGCACTGCCACCACTTCACAAGTACAGACATTAAAGCTTTATCTCAGTGTATTTTTCTAAACTAAATTCTACCTAAGAAGGGACTGCTGGATAACAGGGATTGCAAACATCAGGCTTTATTAGTTCTCAGTGCTAAGCAGAAGCTAAGAAAACAAACTTCCCTCACATACCTGCCAAGCCTGCTGGCATTCAGCTTCATGAAAAGGTTTTTTGTAGGGCTCTATTGAAAAGCAAAATCTCATCATTCAGCTTCACCTGTCCAATTTACAGTGCTCTAAGACTGGTTGGACAAGTCAAACTCAATCAAGGGAGAAGTTGTTTCACCAATTAAAATAATGAAACTTTTAAAAGGTCACAGACTAACACCTCTCTATCTCTCTCTAATATATATATATATAAAAAAGCCCCACATTAGTCCTAAATCATGCAGTTTCATGCAGTTTTCATTTGTGCTACCAATCTCTAAATGCAAATTACCTGTCTGGATTCCCAGCTGGCCAGTTTGGGAACTAGACACCATGAAATCCTGATCCCAAATGGGAGAATTCTGGCTGTACACTTCTTCTTCCAGCATAGACAGAAACCTAGGCACAAAACGAGGCAAAATATCAACTAATGGGATCATTCCAAACAGGTTCTTTTTCAAAATAAATACTTGCAATGTTTTTAAATTAAAAACATTTACTAAGTCAGTAAGAAAATGCTGTTGGCCAATGCTATTAAAAAAAACCCCACATATGCAAAAATCACACGCCAGAGTAGACATGAAGTACCACAATTCAGTAGAGTGCTTTCATTTACAAAACCTTGCCTCTGATTACAAGCAATAGTTATCTAATTTGTAAGTGCAGAAAAAGACAGTTACAAACTACTTTTACAGAGCAAAACTCCACTAATGAGAAAGCTATGAGTTGACTGATGTTATACAATGATGGCAAAATATGTCTGTTTTGATAAACCAGTATTTTGCAGATGCATTTGCTATCTGCCTTTGATAAAATCCCAGTGTTACTAAAAATGCTCTTAGAAAGATATTTTCATTCCTTTAAGTGTCCTACTGTAACATCTAATTGCCATGTGTGTGCTTGCTTAACAGTATTTTTAACCTTACTTTGGTACAGTTACAGAAACAGCACAATTTTAAACCTTTCTTAGCATTATTTTATTCCACAGATCAGACTCTCCAGCACACTCACCTTCTCAGGGCTAATACACCAATTCCTTCCCAACAGCAAGACAGCTACTTATCCTATGTTGCACAAAAGAGGTTTTCAGACCAGAAGTTGACATGGCACATTTCTACTCTCAGGAGTTATCTATATGTATAGAAACTGCTCAGCTGAAACCAACAGGACTGATGAGTAAAACTTCCTTGAACAGGATAGGGATTTTCAGGATCAAGTCAGACTCTTGTACTGTATATGTAGGACACCCATACCTAAACAATTTCCTGTGTTTGCTGCTGTCTACACAGGTGATAATGGCTAAAAAGTTTGTAACAGTGACCTGACCATCTGTGACAAAGCAGAAGGACAAATTCAACTTTAGCCAAAGCTCTATTTCCAGGCAGTACAGAGGCTCTGCCTTCAGCCCTGATAGCAACTACTGCCTAGGTATGCACAGACACAAGCTGTGGGTGCTCCTTTGCCCAAAAAGGAGAGCCCAGGGCAGAAGGGAGCCCTGTGCCAGTGCCAGGCTCCATGCTCTGAGACACAGCTCCTCTGTGGGGTTCACTCAGCACAATGCCAGAGGAAAGACAAATGCTTCAGATAAGTACATGAAAGATTTAAAACATTATTCATACTTCCCACAGATCATCTGGAAACAGTATTTGTCTTTTTTTCCCCCCAGCAGAATATCAAAAGGAATTGCAGTGAATAGTAATGCTTTTCAAATTACTGCAAAAGGCTTTAAAAGGCAGTGAAAACAGGGGCATATGCACACCTACTTCCACCACAAATCTGCTCCTTGCATCAATGGGGTGTTAAGTCCTTTTTTATATCTGTCTCAGGGCCAGATCATGATCCTGTTCCCAGACACGCACAGACATTCCTGTAACCATAACAGTCTACCCCAAAGACAGTGCACATTTTTCAAAGTGGTAAAATAAACTATGAATAATAGTAGGAGCAAGAAATCCTTACTCTACTCAGCTTAGGAAAGTTCATGTTGTTTTTCATTCCGCTCAGCTCTAACCCATCTTCTGGCCCAACACAGTAGCTTGCATAGATAGCATCAGTGCCACCAGGTCTTCTGTAGGTTCACTTCATTTGTTGTTAGGAGGCTTTTAAAGTATGACTTAGAGAAACAAGCTACCCTTGTAAAATAAGGATATTTTTCAAGTGATACACTATTTTACAGGAATTCATTACAGTGAATGATCCTGTCAACATCACTACCCCTCTTCACCATCAGTAAAATGCTTGAAATTAAGGACTGTCAAAGTTGAGCATGTTTCAATACCCCTATTATTGCCATAATTATTTGTAATAATTGCTGTTTTATTGTGAGAGATTGTCATCAACATTCCAGTACTGGAAAATATACTCAGTATTAAATTTATGAGTTTAGGATTCAATGATGCAGTTTTATACTGACTCCTCTCTAATAAACCCATCTCTTCTAGGGGTGGGTAACTATTACAGTATTGAATTAAACTGAAATTCTTATAAACTCTGTACAACATTCCCCCCCCCTTTTTTTAATGCTCCATCACCAAAGCAGATGCAAGCATGTTTTTGGAGGTCTGGACCCACATTATTTCCAAGGACTACAGAAAAAGAAAGTAATTGACCTACAGTACCTGCTAATAGGCAAAAAGCACAATCTCCCAGCAATATGAATAATCCTTTTCATAAAGTAAGGCCTAGGATAAAACAAAGCAAGCATTTGTGTACATAAACTACACTAATCTAAGATATGGCAGTAAAGAAAGCTGCAGTGTCTAGTTGCTACTGAATAAAAAGAAATTATTTTAAGCTGCAGGTAATTTCTCCCTTTCCACAACGAAGTTGATGGTTAACTTTGGAGGCAGACACACTGGGAACCCTTACTTTGGAAAATGAGTGAGGATTAGTGTTCGTTTTTCTTGAGGAAGCTTGTCTTTTTCTTGCCTGGCCTGCTCCAGCAGTTGTCGTCTCATTACAGTAAAAACAGAGCGAAGCAATGTCCTACCAAAAACCTGGGTGGTTTCATACCGAGGTAGACTGTCACAAAACTGAGGGACATTGCAGTAACAAAGCCACCTGTAAAGAGAAAAAAAAAGCCAGGTAATTATCACAATCTAACATACGACTTAATGCAATAAAACCACTACCCACATCATTTATAATGCAGCTGAGAGCTATATGACCGTATAAATCAGTTCCACTACCAGGCTGGACAGAGTTAAGCAGCATTTATATTGCCCATTTTTTTACAGAAATGACAACCAAGTACTTTTAAGTTTTCATATATTCTTTTTCTCTGCAGTCTAGTTTACACAAAGTACTCTTTTTCCAGACAGTAATCACAATAACAGAAAATTCATAGGTATGTCAGGGATTCTCTCCACAGCTCATTCATCCACCCTCACACATCTCTTGCTCCAAAGACCCTTAGCATAGCCTGTTTTACCCTCTAAAAGTCTACCTTACCTCACACAGAGGCCAAATGGGTGACAATTTTGACTAGTTCCATCACCATCCCAATCCAACTGAGTTCCTGCCCTGTATTTCCACCAATTGGCTTCTTCCCATTATACTGTCTTATTACTCTTTTGTTACCAGTACCTCCATCCATAATAAACTTTGCACTAAGGAAAATTACAGGATGTCATGTTTCTTTTCTAGGAAAAGAGATTATGGTACCAAAGAGATAACCCAGGAATACACTGACTATGTAGATCACAATATCTGTTAATCTTATAAACAAGATTTTGATATCTATGTGTAAGTGAAAAGCTGGAAAGCTCCAGCAATGAAAAGAAAATATTAGGATTTGGATGCAAACACACTGTGCTGGATCCTGCACACATTTCCTCATCCAGATCCAAAGTACAGCCTGTCTCAAAATGTTCTCCCAAACTCTGGCGCTTTAATCTTTGCAAACATGAGTTGCAAAAGAGTTGTGAGATAGAGCTGCTCACAGACTTCTACTCCCTGTTCTTGGCCGATAAAGCACAGCTCTCAAAACACAAGAATGCATGTGAAACTCTGATGTGGTTTCATTCAAATCCTCGGGTTCTCAAATGAGATTGGTGACTGCAAAAATTCAGGCTTGCCCATGGTGCACAGAAGCACCCTGAGCAATGCCTCAGACAAGGCAGAGGAGAGAAGCTCACAATGACAAGTGAGATTTGATGGGAAGAGCACTTTGGGTTGGGGAGGGACCTTAGGGACTGTGGGCAGGATAGCTGAGAAAACACAAGTGACAAAAAAATTAACAACAAAAAGCCACCAACCAGAACCAATTATCAATTCCTAACAAGATTTAACTCCTACCACCCCTGGCTGACACTGGTTATCACAAACAAATGGAGGTCAAACACCCACCAAACATGGTCTTAGGAGCACTATGGATTGCAAGTGTGCTTTATGGCACTTATTCAAGGTGACAGGACATCTGGGTCAGACACAGCGCAGTCTTCTCTGCCACTACCCAGAGTCGCAACTCACACCAGGTTTGCTGCTGTTCTCCTTCATGGAGAGGAGGTGTGTGAGAGGAAAGGCCACCGGGAAAGCTGCCAGAAGGTGGTGCTCCCCTTCGGCCAGCAGAGATGTCCGGGGCGTTCCTGAGAACGGTGTGCTGGCAGAGGTTAACTACCTGCTGCCAGACCGGCAGGACCCTGAAACTGCTCTCACTCTGCTTACTGAAAAAGGCACTGCACTACTCTTGTGAGAAAAAGAAAATAGAGACGTCTTTTTATCCTAGCTCTTAATCCTCCTGCGACTAAGTTATTACTTTGAATTCTAACAGCTCATTAAATGGTCATAACAAGAACCATAATTTTAAGGAACGTAGTAATATCTGTCCCCCATTTAGCATTCAAGCACTTGCAAAATTAGTTTAATTTTTCAACTCCTCCGTGATTTGGTTTCAAACAGTGATGCTTTACAATGCTAAATGTCATGTTCTTTCTTTTTTTTTTTAAGTTGAATGATAAATAGGGATCTTAATTGAGGCTCATATTTAAGAAGACTGAGAACGCTTCACAAACACAGATCTTGCAAAAACATTGTTAGATACAAGTGTTCCAGCCTCTACTCCCTGCTCTTGGCTGATAAAGCACATCTCTCAAGACCCAAGGATGCATGTGAAACTGATACAGTCTCACTAAAACCCTTAGATCTTCATGTTAAATCCACGGATGCAAGAATTCACAAGGTCCGTCTATGGCATAAAGACACTGGTGTACTCCTGATGTTTGCACATGCCCTATTTGTAAGGAAGACTCCTAACAAGCAAAAGCAGCATTACCTGGTATAATTCACTTTATACCCCGCAATATCATCATTGGGTGATCTTAGTCTTCGCTGAGAAGGTGTCTCCAGGTGCCAGTAGTTGATGCGGTTCAGAAACATTTTAGCCAGCTCCACTATTGTTTGCCTTTCCTTCGAGGGTAAGTGGCTAAATTTGTACTGCACAAAATTATTCACACCCTTAAAAAGTAAGAAAATTCTGTTTAATACTTAAATGCTTTTTAATACTTTAGCCATAATTTTTATAGGAGCATCCTCAAACATTCCTCACTTTATGTTTATAATGAAATTGCATTGCATGAGAAAGAAAAGAAACATCGGAGACCATGAACTCCTTGCTCAGCATCATGCAGATGCCACAGGTACCTGTGTACACAGCAGGAGGTACATCCAGGTATTTTTAACCTACTCTCAGCAGCTGATGTAGAGGGAAAGAAGAAAAAATTCTTTTTTCCCTCCTTCTCAAAGTCAGAAAACAGAGAAAGTTCTGGTAGGCTTTCATCTATACATAAACCAACTATCACCTCTCCAGCTACTTGTCAATAATAAATTAGAGCTTATGGACTTCTACTTAACTTTATGTCTACAAATCATGTTATTTTTTCAAGAAGTATTAATACTTCACAATCATGTCTCCTCATTGCACTTTGGAAACTGTCCAGTTTAAAGAAAAATCTACTGAACATGATTAAAATGGGTGACTAAAATTGCTGCAACACATATTTTATAAATCCATTATAACACTCAGTGTTTAGCAAATAATTTTGTTTGAGTGGCTGAGCTGCTAAAAACAGAATTGTAAATACTGGTCTTTTTTAAAGGGAAAATTATTTCAAAATAAGCTGTAAGAAGAATTACTCTTTTATCCCTATGCTTTATTTTCTTAAGCAACTTGCACATTATGAAGAATTTGACAAAAAATTGCATTGAATAAAACCTTTTTAATAGTATATTTTAAGGATTAGGAGCCTAGGGGGATTACAAACACGTTTTTTGATACTCTAACTAAAGGAGAACTTAAAGTGAAGACTTCTCAGAAATTCAGCAATAAAGTGGCTTGATCTTCCTAAATGATAAGAAGTGAGAGTTGCAAAGAAATAATTAATAAACATAGCAGTCTTCACAGTTAAATTATCCTGTTTAACAATAGAACATCAATTGGATGGGAAAACACTGAGCTCCTGTGTCAGGGAGGTATGTGAGCCTCTGCATAGTCTCACTGGAGTTCATGGGCCCACTTGTCTGCCAGAAGTGCATTCTTAGGAGCTTGCTTAACCAAAAACTGAATTTGTCATATGTTCTTTATCTACTGAGAGTCACAAAAGCCTCAATTATTCTTTGGTTTCTGCTTTGGTTTTTTTCTTGTGCACCCTTTGAAAGAGAAGGCTATGATCTCACTGAATTGGACCGTAACATTTTTCTTGATATACAGAAGGCAAGTGCCATTTTAATATTGGATTTCAAAACTTCAACAGGCATTTTTCATCACTTGGAACAAAGAATGATTAGAACTGCCCACATAAAAGTAGCATTTCAAGTTAACTCTCTAAACCCACAAAAAAATCAGTTTCATTAAAGCATAAGACCAATGATGAGAAGCCAAATAATGTAACTATTGTACAAATACTAAAAGGAGAACCAACAACAATTTATACCCCGCTATTTTATCCTAAGCAGAACACAGAAACATCTGCAAAGTGCCTAAAAAAATGTCCTGTTTCAAAACCAGTGTTTACATTTACAAAAACAAACCACAAAAAATCCCCAAACAAAGCCTCCAAACCCCCACTAAAATAAAATTTAAAAATACATAAATAAACAAGAAAAAAAAACATCACACACCAACACCAACACAAAACCACATTTTGACTCTTTACCTGTTCAATGCTAGGTTTCTCAAATGGGGGACTTTCCAAAGATCCTTCTACTACAGGTTTTCCCATCTGCAAAATGCACTTCCTCAAAAGCTGTTAAAAATACACAGACGTTGAAAAGTTAGTGTATTTTCATACACAGAGTGGATGAAAGTCACAAGGGCACAACACACTGTGAGCAGTGTTGGAATTCTCCTGGCTATATACCCGCTTGTTCAGTCATCTGAATTTGTAATAACTAAACTTTACTGTGAAATCACCTTCTCTGAAATGCATGCAGGAGGCTCTCTGAGGAAATGCAGGCAGCTAAGTTACCATTCATGTGTCAACTGACTCTTCCTGGTATGGCAGTGAAGAAGGTTGCAGTTTATACGTGGGACCCAGGGTCAGTTCCTCAATCACCTGGATGACTTTTGGAATAAGAATCAGTATATTGCAAGTACCAGAACGTCCAGCCCACAGTTACTCAGCAGAGCATTGTCCCAGAGAAAAACTGTCTCAGCAGACAAAGTCAATCCACGCCCGAGCACCAATGAAATTGGCTTATGTGTGAGAAAGTGAAAAATCTGAGAAGATACTCCACAAGTTCAGCTTACTTTGAACAGGTAGAAATAAACTTGCTTGGTGTCTGCATCTTCTTCTTTGTGGACACAGGTGAACAGATATTCCACATCCAACACAATCCCCAGGAGCCTGTTCATTTCTTCTTCAGACACATTCTCCAGGTGAGAAACATGAGCAGCTAAACAAAATAAAAACCCAAACTTGTAAAAGGCTACTGAGAGAACCCATTGCACAACTATAGCTCAGGAGATCTCCAGCTAAGCCTTAACTGTAAAAGCACTGATCCTGTAATAACCTACTTAAACAGAACACATCTTATCTGAGGTAACTGAAACCTGTGTCACATCAGAGCAGTTTGTAAAGGTTGACCAGCAGTGGTAACTTCCACAGCAGAGGAATGGCAGCTGGTTGGAATCACATCATCTGTTAACACTTAAGCAGAATACAGAAGTCAGGCTTGTATTAATACGTTGCACTATGTAAATAACTACATACATTTTTGTCCTGGAGCTACGTCTTTGAGACAAGTTTTCTTGACTTAAGAAAATAAATCCATAATTTCCATAAATTATGCAATCCAGATGTAAGCATCACCTTATTTTGTGAAGAGTGAAAAAAACCCAGTCCCAAAAAATGACTTTTTCTTTTAAACTGGGCGTTATTAGCTAAGTCCCTTGCTTTTGTATCATGTAAGCTCAAACTGTGCTTTGTGCACACTGTATTAACAGAGATTTTGCAGACTGTACATGCTCATTTGTTCAGCAGTCTCCAAGTGACAAACTCCCTTTTATTGTCTCCAAAGGTAAATACAGTCTCACATCTGTAATTTTCAAAAGCTTGAGGTTTTTCCCTGTAAAGCGGGAAATTCATTTCAAGCTGGTTTGAGAAACTGGCCCGGGAAGAAGGAAGGCAGCGTAAAACAAAAAGTCAACTCCCAAAAAGAAGATATTTGCATTACAAAACGCAATGATCTTACTGACTCCAGGCTAATGTAGATGGTATGCATATCCTTTCCTCAGAAAGGACAAGAAAATATCCTTTCAAAGAAAGAAAAAAAATACTTTTAAGTTTGGGCATATTAACTTTTTATATTTTAATACATTTTATCTATATTTGCTTCTTAAGATTAACATATATTTTCAACAGAAATCTGACTCCTTAGCTGGGGAGTTAGTGAGGAAAAATAACACTTGACTTGAAAACGATCACATTTATTGGCCACCAAGCAAAGATGGTTTGTTTTGAGAAGTAGTATGATACCAAAACATTTAAATTTAATACCTTTATTTGGCTTCTAGTAAAAAGTGCACTGTTATGCAGAACTTTAAAAATATGTCAGCAATTGTTTCCACTTAAATGAAAATTTATAATATAGTGTCTTAGGCACATGACCATCATGAGCTTCCTTTGAGGATAAATAATCAGTATTCTGGGCAGAATAAAATTATTTAACTTCTGTCCTTAAGACAGGTATGAAGGGTTAATATTCCCAGCAGTTTGTCCTGATCATTTGCAAGGAATAAACATCCTCCTAGAGGAGCTTTGCATTAGAAGCTGATAACATACCAAAGAAACCTTGCCTTCAACAAATGAATAAAACATCAGCATAAGAAACCATTTCTATGCAGTTTCCATAACAATACTGAACCATGACTACTTAGCTGTGTTTAAACATTTTATTAAACTAGAGAATTATTATTATTCATACTGAATCTAAAAGTTAAGTGTTTTACCAGCATGCATTTACCAGACACCAATGCTTATACACCAGGTCAACAAACTATCTTTCTTCAGATGTTCACAGCCCATTCCCAAACTCTGTGGCCATTAGTAAGTGTTTCATTAAAATTAAAGCTTTAGTACACTGGCATCAGATACTGCATCACTCTTGACTAGAGTTACAATCACAATCACATGCACTGCCCAACTGGTACACTCTTCTTCCGTTGCTGTTATGCCTGGAAAAGAAATTTAAGTATCACATGTATAGGTTGCTAGAGCATGCACTGAAAAGCAAGCAGAAAGAACAAGGCTCAGTGATAGCAAACAAGCACTGGAGTGTACAAATTAGGAATGGTGAAAAAAATGGATTAATGAGGAACGTGTCCACAGCCTATCTCAAAACACTAGAATCAAGAAATACCCAAATGTGAAGGTGCATAGCAGGAACTGAAGACAGTGATAGGGAGAAAAAAGAGACTGAATGTGTATATGATGTATTAGCACATTAACCAACTAGTTTTAAAAGTGATCAAAGACTGACAATGTTTACCAGATAAAAAATGCACCTTGCAACACAGGAGAAACAATCAAATAGAAAAGAGAATAGTCTCTGACTATGCAACACCATAAAGCACATGGACAGTGAATTGTCCCAGCATCTAATCCTGTCACAGTGTTAGAAGATATATCACCCAAATAAAAAAAAAAATTCATTAAAACAACAACATTGAGCCAAACTGTGGCACTGAGCACCAAAAGGATGAATATAAGTTGTAGATAAGTAGACAATAATACACAAAATCAAATAGATTTATGCACCAAAAGCTGCACTGGCTTGAAGATCAAAGCCACACCCCCAAAAACAGAAATCTCAAACAAGGTAGTATGTAGGAGTACCTTGGGATGAAAAATTAAATTCTACAGGAAAAAAAAAAAAAAATTACATCAGGTACACGTTTAACCAGCACAGAAATTTCTACCTTGCTACTTCAGCGGCTTTCTGAGGAGAAGAAAATGCAGCACAGCTAATGTGAAGCCCACATACCTTGTGGTAAATCTGCTTTTAAAAGTATTCAGCAGAAATACAATAACTTAGAGGAGATGAATAGGAAAATTATCTTGAAAAACACGGCAAAAATGCATACTTTTCCAGCAGTATGAGGAAGAACACAGCAACTCATTTCAGTTATTTTAAATGAAACATCTTCCTCATTAGCTGCAGTCAGAAGTATTTTCTAAAAAGAGCAGTAAATAGAATACTTTTTTTTTGATAGAATACTTTTTCTGGTTTTACAGTACTGGTTTTCCCTGGTTTCCTAGCTAAAGAATGATTTAATATTTCTTAATAGACAAAACCAGGCCCATCTTTTAGAAGAGCCAAGTTTTTCTCATACAAAGCATCCACAAATTCTGCTGAAGAACAGAGAACTGACAGGCACATCTTGCAAGTTTAAAAAAAAAAAAAAAAAGAAAAAAAAAAGCTTTCTTCAAAGGCCAGGATTGAAAGGGATGGGTAACACAAGCCACTCTAATTGCACAAACAGAAGCAGCACAGAGAAGCTGTGTGATGAAAAGTCAAAACTAACTTGGCTAAAGTGACTGAATTTTCTGTAATATTATGCATTTGTTAATCTTCTCCTGCAAGCAAACTCAGAGATTTTGAATATCAGGAAAAAATTCTGCTGAAAAGCCTAGAATTAAATTACATGTAATGAGTTTTATTACATGAAAACACATGTAATAAGAAAGAGTACTGAAAAAAAAAAAAAAAAGGGAAAAAAATATTCTATTCGAAGTACAATATTTTTTTTCAAAAGTAAAATAATAAGTGATATATTGTGAAGGTTTTGAATTTCCCTTTTTATTTTTTATTTCTTTGTCCTAAGCTTTGTGTGGCAACAAAAATTAAACAGCAACTGTTTTTTTTCAACTAGTTCTGAATTTTATTTTAGCTGAATTTTTATTCAGTATTTGCTAGAAAGGATGTGGATCTATGATGGAGCAAGTTGAGAGCAGGGCAATGAAGTTGATCTGAGGGCTGGAGCACTTCTCCTATGAAGTCAGGCTGAGAGTGTAGGGTTGTTCAGACTAGAGAAAAGAAGGTCCAGGGAGACCTTAGAGCAGCCTTCCAGGACCCTAAGGTGGCTGGCAAGAAAGCCAAAGGGGGACTTTTTCAAGGACATGTAGTGACAAGACAAGGGGTGGTGGCTTTAGATTGGTTTAGATTAGATATCAGAAAAAGGATTTTTTACAATGAGGGTGGTAGAATACCGGAACAAATTGCACAGAGAGGTGATGGATGCCCCATCCCTGGAAACATTTACGTTATAGTTGGCTGGGGCTCAGAGCAACCTGATCTAACATCAAGTATCCCTGCCTGCGGGAGGGTTGGACTAGATGATCTTTAAAAGGTCCCTTCCAACTCAAACTATTCTCTGATTCTGATAAACACAGAAACAGCCATCAGCTGTTATTCTGGATAAAAATATAAATCCTTAAAATAATAATACAGTGATTCAGCACTGTTTTTCAGGCTATGTGGGTAACAAATTGTTACTTATTTTAAGTCTGAAAACCAAAACCAGAAACCACAACAGTATTAACAGTGGATTTTGAGCAGTTTCTTCCAAGACATGCAAGCTGTCTGCACAATAACTTAGACCATGCTAAGATGTACAACCCTAGTTTTATTTTCTGTGACTCAGGAAGGATAGCTCTTTTAGCACCTCGGTAGTGATGTTCAAGAATATTTTATACATTGTTCTAAAGTAAGGAAACATAATACAGCCTAAAGGAGAGAGTCATTCGCTTTGTAACGAAGGCAGCTGGTAGGTAAAGCTATGTAAGGTTAAGGCATACGTAAGACAAAGTATTAAAATTATTACAGGTAGCTTAATGGTGCTTTTGCATTTTAGCACCTTGGAATGTCGGCGTTGTTAGAAGTTGCACCTTACCCGAGTTCCTTTCCAATAAAACTAATTTTAGGATACTTCCATATTAACCATATTTTTAAAATATTAACCATATTTCAATCTAAGCTATTTACACCTAACAGTAACTCCCATTTCTAGGCCTTGGCGTGGCACCCTGACTGGTGGTTTTGGGGCTCACCCAGGGCGTGGCTGCAGCTGCGGCAGGGCTCGGCCAGGCTGACCGCTGCCTGCTGCAGCTCGGCCCGCGGCGGCGTGGCAGGCGGGTTCGGGTTCTTCCAGCCATTGCATTTACAGGACTCCTCGGCCTGAAAGCAAAGCAAAGGGATATCGATCAGCGCCAGAAAACACGGGAACTTGCTGAAACTGCATGATTTCAAAAGCAATAAAAAGAACTAGCAAAAATATTTCAAAAGCAATAAAAAGCTTCTCTTTTTTTTTTTTTTCTTTTTTTGGGGGGGCGAGCTGAGAAGAGGGGGAAGTTTTGTTGTTGTTTTGTTTGTATTTTTATCCACCACATTATTAACCTTTATTTTCTGGAAATTATCAGAACTAGAATACTATCACAGAGAGATTAACATAGTTTGGTAAGCAGAATTCATAACGAACCCTGGCTAGTTCCTTTACAGAAATCCCTCACTCTACTGAAAAAAATATTCAAATATTTAGTAGTAAATCAGCTTTTACAGATCCGGCCACCGAGACAGATTTAATTATTTAAACATAAACAGGTTATCTAACAGGCAACACGTTTGTCACTGCCTCATCAGCTCCACGGGCACCAAGGAATCACACACAGCTGAAACCAAGCCCATGACAAACCAGGCAGGGTTAACTAATGCTGAAATAACCAAACAATAAATGCACTATTGGAGAAGGCTGTTTAAGGCAAGGAACACTTGGCCACAAAAGCAACAGATGCCAAAGACAGTGACACTTCCACCGCAACCTGCTGCTTTCCCTAGGAAGTTTACTTAGGCTCACCGAGTGTCAAACAACCACCAAGAGAATGCAGCTAAAAGGGAAGACCATGAAGGAAAAGGTTGTGACTTTGGTAATTGTGTCTCAAATCATTCAGAAGTACAAAGTACCGATTCCAGTTATCCAAAGAGCAGCTTTACAGGAGGGGATTTTCTCCTGCATATCCAAAAGTTGGATATTTGGTCATTCTAACTTCATTCGTGCTCCTATTTGAAGATCTGATTGGAAAGAAAGCCTGCTTTTCTACTCTTCAGAGATATCAGTGCACTGGGTTGTAAAAAGATACTCATGAAATTGCACTGCCGAGACCTCAGTGAGGAAAGTATGCCAATTGCTGCATAATATTTATGGCTGAAACAATCTTAGTAGGAAAAATTGTGATGGTAATATATGCAGCACTAATGTATCATTTTTCAAAACTGATTCTGCATACATTTAGTGTGATCTATTTCGGGAACCTATTTCATTTTCCTTTTAAGTTTCCAAATCCCATCCTACCTAAGGAAGAAGAACACAGGAGAAGCAGAAAGGATCACAGTTTGACAGCTCTTAACAGTGACAGCTTTGTAAATGGCTGGTAAAGTGTTCTTTTAAACTCATTTCAATATTCAGTAACCCGAGAACCAAGAGAACTGCTACCCGCAGTTTGCTCAGCACCACATGATGTTTTTACCATCCCTGAGGCTTAAGTATTTATCCAGCTGGGCTCCTGGCCCTGGGTGCCCTGGCCTCTGCCTGGCAGGCACCAAGGGCTGTGAGCAGCATTTTCTGTAGGCACCGGCATGACTCAGAAATCCACCTGCAAGTGCCCAGCAAAGCCATTTCCGCACATTTCCCTTGAAAAGGGGACAACTTGCATGGCCTGATCCTCCTGGCTCTCCAAACTCACTGAGAGGGTGCAGACCGCCTGCCAACCCACGCATTTATAAAGTGAAATTAGCGAGGCTTCAGGATGAAACGAAGGGAAGATTAAAACAATTTTTTTTTTCCTAAGTCTCATAAAATGCAATCTGAAAAGATTTATAGTGAAGTTTATGTTCTTTTCCTATCGTGTTTTCTGTGAGTAATATGACTGGCAGAGAACTGAAGTGTAATTTTCTGGCAGAAGCCATCTCTTGCAGTTTCACAGGCATTGAGCCAGTTGTGTTTGTCATCCAGCCCCAGAGGCTCTCGGAGCTAAATGGAGTTGAGAGCTCAGTGACTGATACCTGCAAACCACAGACTGCCCCACTGCAAGGACTCTGGACATCTGGGAGATGACATAAAACCCCTTGTTTTCAATTAGCTTCCCAAGGCAAAACCAATGCCAAATAAACTATACATATTTGCTTTAAAAATGTGAGAAAGGCAGTGTTGCCATGAAAGTTTTGCATTTAATATGAGAATAGAGAAACTGTCAACAAAAAAAGGGAAGAAGTCTGGAAATGAGATTATTGACAAAGAAAATGCAAGAGACAAATGTGAAAGAGTTGTCAAACAAAAAAGGATTGAATATTATTTTAGGGAAGTAAGATTTGACCCTTCCCATGCAGCTGTCTGGACAAATGTTTAACACTGTAAATTACTGACATATCACCATTATTTATTGCCTTAAATCATGCCACAATGAAGCATATCCAGAACTCCCTCCTAAAAATAGGCACAAGGCTTTTGTGATTTTTTTTCCTCTGAGTGGAAGCAGTATGTCACAGAAGCTCACCAAGCAATGTTTACTATCAAGCCAAAAGACTCTAAACAGTGAGTAACTATGTAAACTTTAGTGTCACACCATAATTAACAGCAAAGATGCAAACAGATGTACGAATCGTGGTAACAGCTCAGTTAAACTGACAAAAATAAACATCAACCCACCCACAGAAGAATAAAACCAGCATGTTCAATGGCAATTTTTTTTCTGCTCTTGTTGGTGTTTCCTCGCCAGATCTTTTTGCAACAGCTGTTAAATGATATTGTTCAAATTATTCTAGAGACCTTAACCAACCAACCACTAGGGTGGTTTTTTTTGTTAATCTTTATAAAACACCAGAATCATCATATATGTTCTGTTAACCAAGGCAAAACAGAACCTGAAAAGGTCCTCTTTAAAACTTAGCTTTCACTGTAGATGTTGACAGTGCAAGTATTTTGCAGTGAATATGCAATGTGCATTCCTCAGTGGCTTAAATTGCTGAGTTGTTTTAAATCTTCCACAGCATTTTGCTCATTCAATCCTTTCTTTGACTATCTTTGGCTTTTTCCTTTCTTCCTTTTTTTTTTTTGTTTTGTTTTTTTTGTTTTGTTTTTTAATGTCACTCATCTGTTTTTCATTAGAAAATAAAGTATGACTTCACCTCTGCAAAAACTTAATTTAAGACCAAAACACTTTTGAGGAAAGGAAGGAAAAGTATTTGAAATAGCACATCCAGTCCTTGAAGCCTCATTTTCTGGGACATCTGCACAGCTTTGATAAATCCACTGTAGAACAACAGGGACTTCTGCCCTAATGAAACCTAAAAAATAATGACTGTCATCTTTGCAGGCCCAGGGATCATGAACACCACACCTTCATTTGTGTTTTTAAATAAAATTGAATGAGTATAATAAAATAAAACACAACAACTACATGCTGTTGCCTGCCCCCCTCCCCACAAAAAACAAAACAAACAAACAAAAAAATTACAGAAATTATGTATATTTTGTACTGCACGACGCAATTTCACTTTTCTTTTTAACACCTTTCAGGTTTGGTGGAGTGTTACAGTGGGAGAAATCAAACTGTCCAGTAGCTCTGAGCAGTGAAAACTGCAACTCTAGGCAAACTGAAGTTATCGTTTCCTTTAGAATACTGAATACACAGATAAGTAAAATATGGACAGTGAAAAAATACAGAACATTTTAACACAAATTGTCAGTATTTTATTTAAAAAAGGAACACCTGAAAGTTACAATATTGCACATATCTCAGCCCCTTTTAGGTGAGTTTCAGCTGTCTAAATAATAAACAAACCAAGAATGCTAAAATAATAACCTATGGACTAAAATATCCCTCCCCCTTCTGGATAGTGAAATAAGCCTGAGAATGTGCAAACTTCAAGCTAACTTAATTACAAGGTAAAAGACCTCAACAGTTCTAAATCTGAGTTTCAATTAGCTGTTGTGCAGGGTTTTTCTTTCCAGCTTAAAATTATACAGGTTACCCTATTTGGTAATTGAGATGCAAAGCAGGCTCAACAGATTATACACAGAATGTTACAGATCTTCTCTATTTCCAACAAGTATAATTACACTAGAAAACATCTTCTTCCTCCCAACACAAAAGCTGTGTAAAATACCTTATAAGATTTTTCCTGCTGCTGGCAGCAAGCTCAAAATGGTGACTTCATCAAAGAGTATCACATAAATGATAATAAATACATTGACGAATTTAAATAATATATTCTTCCTACTCATATGTCCAGTACCCAAGAACCAAACAGCTGGACACTACTCAAAGAGCCACTCATATGTATCAGGAGATTAGCTGACTCATTTATCTTTAACAATACAAAATAAGCAGTTTAATGGGCAGCTTAAAGGGCATATTCTTCATTTATTGGTAGATCAATTATTTAATTCCTTCTGCTTTCCAGTTGCACTTACAGAAGAGAAGTAGGCTACCATATAAAGCTTGTATTAATAAGCACCCAGTTCCTATCTTGTAAAGTTAATGGTAGATTTCCTATTTAAAGGAAGATGCTTTAATAGGGCCTGTAAGACATTATAAAACAGATTCACCTCACAATGAAAGTGATAAGAAAGCTTTGGATGTCTTCTTTGTCTCCTATATTTTGTAGAAAACAATACATTTCGAGTTGAGCTTCAAGGAGCTGTACTTCCACTATACAGAACACAGCAGTAACATGGCCAAATTGACCTCATCTTAATCTGCCTTATAAGAATCAGGAAAGAAAATATTTTATAATGGAAAATGTGGTACAAGTTTACCTTATGAACTCCTTTTTTTATGTGTGGGAAAACCAGAGCTTACTCTAGAATGAGCAGTGGGAAGAAGTGCTTCGAGACAGGATGAGCCGCTGGTCTTGAGCCTGGGGCTGGGATTTTACTTCAACATCAGCCCTTGCTCACCTGCTGCAGGGCCTTGGCCAAGTCATCTCATCACAAACCTTCTCATTCTGTCTACTTTGTTCACCTAAAGCAAAAAGCTTTTCTTCAAGGAGGTATCATTCCTTGTACAAGTGCTTTAGGCTACTGACTTCTCATTATATCTGCAAACACCCTGGCATTACTGTTAAGATATATATAATGAAAAATAAACAAGTTTACAGGAAACTTGGTGTACTAAAATAGTACATATTTCACCTTATTTACATAAAAAGCTCCCAGTGAGACTGGAGAAAGAGTTGTATTTTCATATAATCTAAACCAATAGGGGAAAAAAGTATAGAGGAGACTTCCTCCTACACCTTCATTAAATATATTTATGTGTGTAAGTCACACAGTGCTGCTTTTATATAAAGTGCTGAAAGCTCGCATGCCTAATGCTCAGCTTCACAGTGGACAAAACCAAAATGATGTATGCAGCCATTCATACATGCACAGATACAGCAAGTGCCAAATACATAACCCCTCACAGCACACAGCACTACTGTGTACCTCCAAAAGTCATGAAAACTGTACCAACTCCTATTATATATATCTTGTTCAGAATGCCACCCTCCTCCTTCAGAGTTGGGCTTTTAAGGTTTTTTACTTGGAAGAGCCTGTTCTATGCCTTCCACCCAGATTTTTCCCACAGAGGAACAAGTCAAGTGGAGCAGCTCAACAGATTTGTCACTGTTTATCACTGCTACAACTCTCCTGTCCAGTTCTTTTTATCAGGAAAAAACCCAAACCCCACATTTTTCTAGTCTCAGCTCCCTAAACTTCAGGCTCATTCTGCTCAGGATACATGCACACCAAGTATGTATTTACCAGCAGTCTTTGCCCATGTTTCACATGACAGAAAGGGATGGGTTGTAAAGAAGGACCAGGAGGTCCTTCCTGGGGACCAAGCCCCCGCCTCAGAGCAGTGCCTTTTACTGTCCTCTGCTCAGCATTTCTGCTGTCACCAGTGAGACTCACCCTCTGCACAGTCACTGACCGCTCCACCTTCTTGTGTGGTGACTCTTCACCCCTAGCAGACAGATGCTCCCTGCCTCTTACTCCAAACATCTGAGGTTAAGCTCCTAATAAATACTGTACAGAATTTTGCAATTAAACGTATGTGGGAGAAAGTGATTGACGCTAAGGATGCCGTTACATATTTTGTATGTACAAAACTTGTACAGCTCCATGTAGATTTACATAAGATCCATGTATAGTCACTACTTGAATGAAAACAGATGGTCCATTCGGAGATGGCGCGAGTGTTTGCCTTCTCTCACTCTTTTGCACTCACACACACAAATGCAAAATCAATGGAAGAGAAGTTGCAACCCAAAGTAAGAAAAAGTTCAAAGTTACAAACTGCACTGCTACAGTTGGCAAACCAGCTTCTCCAGGCTACAGTTTCCGGCAAACCACTAATGTTACAAACCAAGAAGTGTTCTGGAACACCTACCAGGTGTTTGGGAAGAAAAATAAAACATTCTTCCACCCCGCACCATCCTTCCCACCTTATCCCACAGGAGAAGCTTACAAGGAGCTTCTAGTCTGCTTACTTGCTTCTGTTATGAGATCTGAAAGCAAGCTGCCTGCCATTGAACTACTGTACAAAAGTCATACAGCAATTTTAATCTGAACGCAGTGCAGCGTTTAGTGCTGGAACTGTGCCTATATCCTGGCAAGAGGAAGACCCTCTGGCCACAGGTCCTGCTCCATTCATCACTGCAGTTCCAATGGCACATGCATCCAAGACTTGTCACAGACAAGAGGGCTAGCAAAGGCACACAGCAGAGCACTGACAATAAGAGCTGCTCCTGCTCTGTACCCCATCACCAGCGTCCTGCAGGAGGGAAAGAGGAGCTGACAGCAGGCCACAGCGTGCCCTCCTCCACTCACAAAAGGTGCTCATGCCCCTTACCACAAAGCACCTGCAAGAGTGGTGAGGACCCCCAAAAAGAAAAGGGTTTCAGAGGAGATAAGGCTTTTCTATAGCACAGCAACCTCTACGGGGCAGAGCACTACAGGAGAAGGCTTTCACCTTCAAAAACATCATCTAGAGGTGCATCAGAGGAAAAAAAAGCACCAACCAGGGAAGAAAAAAGCAATTCAAACACACACACACCTCCCTAACAGCCCATGAAAAATTTACACACTTCGAAACCAGCTTTATCTATTAGCATTATTATTATGTTAACATTAAAATAAGGGGTGCAAAGGCGACTCATCACTGGGAAAGCTTCACACCATATCACTCTGCCCACAGCGTTGCAAAGTTCAAGCGCACCAGCTGCTCTTTAACCTTATCGGCACCGGTGTAATCTCACACTGTCCCATAGATGCACCAGAGCTGAAGTGTAGGTGCCTGCACATGTGGAAACAGGCAAATAAGACATTGCAATGTGTGGCTTCCGTAATTTGCCCTCCCACGGCAGCACTGCGCCATGCCTTCAGCATACAGCTAAATATGCTCACACCACCAGACTGGACTACAGAGCCATACAATGATGCTTCGTCCCGTTTGTTAACTTGTCCTTTCACTTACCATCTGCTGAAGTAGGAGAACAGAGAAAATAAGAACAAACAGCTACTCTCAAAGCTGAAAGCGTTACTAGAGGATCTGACATCAGCACTGCCAATCTAAACATGTCAACCCCGCTGTGCATCCAGAAATTGCCCTGACAGCAGCAGCGCAGCCAGCGGCCCGTGCTCTGAGCACAGGCGACAATGCCCGCGGTCAGAGCTCTGAAGGCGGGAGCGACAGCTCTGACCGAGCTGCCTCCCGCTACAATAAACAGGCGAGTCCTGCTTCTCCCACCAAGAAGAAAATCGCGGGCGGACAGAAAGTGCTTGTGATGGGAAACCAGGAGTAGCGCTCCTGAATGCGAGCACCGGGCAGACACGGAGCAGAGAGCCCCGCCGGGGCAGGGTACAGGTGGACAGGGGACCCCGCTCGGGCACCAGACAGCGGACACCGGCCCGGCGCTACGTGACCGCCGGGGACACAACTTTCCCAAGCGCGGAGGCCGCGCCCCTTCGCCCCTTTGCCAGAGCTGCTGGCGACGGCGGCAGCTCCAGCTCAGAGCAGCGGCTTCAGCGGTGTCAACAGCTCCGCGCAGCGAGGCCGCCGCCGCGACCGGGCTGGAGCAGCCCCCGCGCGGGGCCGCGACCTCCGGGCAGAGCAGAGGGCTGCCCCGCTCCCCGCCCGGGATGTTTACGCGGGGAGTGCTGCAGCAGCGCTGCTAACCCAGCGCTCACCGCCGGCACCGGGAGCCGCCCCGCCCGCCGCCGCCTCCCTCCCGCGGAGGGACTGACGGAGCGGCGGCGGCGGGACGGGCAGCTCCCCGGGCGGGAGGGAGACGGCGCTGCCCACGCGGTCCCGTACTCGGTACGCGCGGGTTTAATTTCTGCGGCCACCGGCCGGAAAGCTCCGGGGGGAGCAGGATCCACCGGCACCGCCGTAGCCGCCACTTCCGCGGACAGCGCCGGGCGGCAGCCGGGCCACCCCCGCGCCCGGCAGGGGTGGGGTGGCAGGGCACGGCCCTTCCCCACCGCCTACCCTCTCTTCCTCCCTCCCCTCCCGTCAATCCCCACCCTCCGTGGGCGGAGGGGCTCCCGCGGCCGCCCGGCCGGCTACCTTGCAAGCGGAGTAGACGCCCAGCTTCTCCAGCTTCTTGGCCCGCGGCGCGGCGCGCAGCTGCGCCTTCTTCCCCGCGGTGCGCGCCGAGCCGGGCCCCCCGGGGCTCTCGGCGGCGCTGCGGACCGGCCCCGCGGCGGCCGGGGAGCCCTGCTGCGGCCCGCCCGCCGCCCCGGCCCCGCCACCGCCGCCGCCAGGCTCCGCCATGCCCGCGGCGCGGCGGCAGCCGCCCGTCCGTCCGGCCAGCCGGCGCGGCGCGGCGCGGTGCGCCCGGCCTTAGACCCTCCCCTTGGCCGCTCCGCCGCCGCCGGCTGCTCCCCGGGGGGGCGGGAGGAGGGACCCGCCGCTCCGCGGGCGGCTCCTGCCCCGCCGGCGGGGGTGGGGGGCCGGCACCCGCCTCCCGCCGCTGCGCACCGCAAGGGCGCGCCCGCCTCCCTGCGCGGGGGCTGCGCGGGAAGGGCGGCGGCACCGCTGCGTGCGGAGCCGCTATGGAGCCATCCCGGCCCGCCGGGAGGCTGCGCGGAAAGTTGCCCTAGAAAGATGCGGCATCGCTGGCGGTGTCGAACCGTCCCGAACCCCGGGGCGCCCGCGGTGCTGCTGCAGCCGCTGTGGCCCCTCGGAGTGCCGCTACTTTGTTTGGCTTAACCATTGCCTTCCCGCACTGTGTACTCTGTGGCCACTTTGAAGGGTTCAGGCTTTTTCCCCAGAGGATTTCTAATTGAGTGTAAAAACACTGGTCAGTTTAAAATACCGGCCAGTTCAAAAACTCTGCTCAGCTCGTCGTGCCATGGTTCTGGGGCTTGTTTTATTGTTGTGTCCAGAAACAAGCGCTGAGAGCAGGTCAGTTTATGCCTTCAAGGGATAACCCTTTAAATGAAAGTTAAATTAAGCAAATGGTCATGCCCCAGAGAGCGCAGTCCATGCACAGCAGCAAGTGCACCGGGTGTGCGGCGGTTCTGCCCCGTTGCACGTATGTAAAAACCGTGGTTGAGCCGTGAGAAACCGCAAATGGCAATTCCGTACTACGGCACCGCGGTTTAAAGGGTTTGGATTGAGGCTGGGCGTTTGCGTGGGATTTACGGTGCTTTGATGTGTAAAGCTAAACTATCAAAGTAGCAGTATGAGTTCGGAGGGAAGACCCAGCGCAGAGAGAGCTCTTGCAGGCACAGGGCCTTGGCACCTTGCATGGGGAAAACAAAAATAACTCTAGGTTGCGCGAAATACGATTTGGGGGGAAGGGTGGGTGACAAAACCCTGCGTTTGTCACCCACCTTCTTCTTCTCTTCAGAGCTCCTGGGGATATTTTCAAGCACGGTGTTATACGGCGCGCTGGCATATTCGTGAAATGTCAGGAAAACAGAACTGAATAAAATGAGGTATTTCATTAAACGAGGGGATCTGTTGTTTTTCTCTATTTACTTATTTATATTTTTATTTCGCTGAGGTTTGTAAATCGGCAGGGTGTGGGTGGGGGTCAGACCCGCTCCCCGGAGCCGGGGTACCCGGGGCAGTCGGCGGCGGAGGCCGGCGCTGGTTCGGGCTCCGCAGCAGCTGTGACAGCGACCCGTAAGATGGCTGCTGCCATCCCCGGCGCTTTAAGACGGACTGGTTAAGGTGGAGGAGCCGCTGCCCTTGGCGGTGGCAGCCTCAAGATTAACAGGAAATTAAACGTAATACAAAAATCCTGTATCTCTGGAATTTAGGAGAGAAATATCTTCGTCTTTTATTTATAATTTTTTGTTTAAAGTGTCCGAATCACGTTTTAAAATAGCAAATAGCCGCTGTGCGTTAGCAGCCCCTAAGGAGCTCTTTCTTTGCTTGCATTTTCTTTATGCCGGTTAGGTTTCTGCTTTCGGACTTGAAAATGAAACTGTTCTTGCTTAGTTTCACTTTCAGCTTTCCCACGACTCCTCTTCGGCAGCAAATGTTAGAAGCAAAGAGCACATCTGGAGCAACACCCTGGCTGCAATGGACCACTTAATATCCCTGCCTGAACACAGACTCCTAGTTCTCCCGAGAGTCGATGTACCTTTACATCCCCCAGTATGTTTTCCTTTTTTTTTTTTTTTTTCATTTTTTTTTCCCCCAAATCACCAGGTTCTCCTTTAACCAGGTAGATAATGATATTTAACATGCATTAAGTTTGCACACTTGCATGTAATAAATTACAGTTTTGATACTGAAAATACATTTACTGCTGTCACAGAGGTGAATAACTCCACCGATGTGCATTGAGGCCACGTGGTGGGCATTTGTGTCTGAAGCTGCACAGGTGAATGTTCATAGGATCACAGCCCAGGCAAATTATTCTTTAGGATCCTTAAAAGCCTGAAAACTTATTGCTTCCATTAAAGTAAAATCAAAGATGAAAGTTGTCAGGATAATTTTACTGTAGTTCCTTCTTGAATCCTCAAGAGCATGGCTGCCTTACAATACCATGTCTCTTTTTTTCCATTATATTTTGATTCTCACCAGATAACCAGAAATGTAAGTCTACCAGCTTGTGGCTACTGATACAGTTACTATAGTAACATTTATAAACACTAATTTCACTACACTTGCAGAACTGCTGCCTGCTAGAAGCAGCTTAGAAAGAAACCCCTCTAACTGCAAATAGGTAAGTCTCTCTCTATTTTTTTAAAATATTAAGCCTGATCATTACTCACTTTCTAACTTTGTGCAAATATGTTGTTAAAAACAAAAAGCAAAAAGCTTTACTTTGTCTTAAACTGCTCTAGTGAAAAGTAAAATATTACATTCAAAATTTTAGCAAGACTGCAGAGTGAAAAGAAACAAACCCCCTATGCTCTGACACACGAATGGATACATGACATTGTCGGCTGCATATATCCAAGCTGTTTTCTTCTGTTGGCTGAATTCACAAGTACAGTACATACTAATTTTCTAATTATAATGCATACATGGATCTTAGCACCATGTAACCCCTCTGTTGCTTGTTTTTAATCATTAAACATGAAGATATTAAATTAGATTCAAACTCACAGTATTGTCTGAAAAACCCTCACCACATTTTTTAGTTTCTGTCCTTTGGAGCATGTCAGTGGGTTTGCACAAAGTCAAGCTGACTCTGAAAGCTGAGTTGAGGAAGCATAGGTGGGAGCAGATGATCCTGCCTGTGCTGCTCAGCTCACAAGCTCCGGTGAGTAGCCAGGTGACTTCAGGAAGGCTACTCATCTGCATCAAATTAGGGAAGCCAGGAGCTAGGTGAGACACAAGTTCCAGCTCATGTGGGTTTCAGGTCTCAGGCTGCTGATAGCCCCGAGGAGAGGCCTGCTCAGAGCCCATGCTCCCAGCAGATCAGATATGCATTTCACATTTGTTTCTCCTGCATGAATTCACCATGAACACCTGACAGGCTTAAATGCAAGAGTGTGTGTGTGTGTGTTACTATTATTGCAGCAAAGGAGGCAGCTGAATTCTTGAGTCACAAAAGAAGAAATCAAAATACAGTTTAGGGTGTGCCGGACTCCTGGTTATTACTTAGATGTCATTTAGGGCTTTTGGGGCCTATCTTGCTGCCATAAATTAAAGAATGACTCAGTTAATAGCAACCTAATGCTGAATGCTACTGCTCTGACAGGGACCACCCAGCCCACAACTGAGCTCTGGGAATCTACCCGTAACCCTCATCACTGTCTCACAGCCCAGTCATATCCAGCATGCCCAACCCAGCCTTGTCTCCCTCCTTTTGTTCAAGTGAGATTTTTCTTCCAGTGCTCCCACCTGTTTTTATTCTCGCCATTCAATTAAAATAGGAAAAGTGTAGCCCTTGCTCTTCCAGGGAACTTCTCAGAGTATAAAATCCTATTGCATCCTTTCATTACTGCATTCCTTGTGGGTGAATTGGCCTCCCTCTCGGCCACCATGCATTCAGGAGTGCTATCAATATTTTATGAATCACTGGAAGTACTAACAATACAGAAGTTTTGCTCATTAGGCTGCCTCTAGCATCTCGTCAGCTTCCCATGGTGCTTACATGTGACTCTAACAACACGGATGGCAGACCTTCCCATCAGGTTTTTGCTCTGGTAGGAAACCTCACACCCCAATTACAGTTTCTAAAAGGAAAAAGTGCAGAAAAATAAATGGAGAAAATGTCATTGCAACACCCATGGCTGCTCTAGTCACACAAATTTCTTGTTAATGATTGACCATTTAGCAGTTTTTATATGCTTCTTACCCAGAGGACTGTTCTTGACTGCTGTCAGACTTTTGATTTAACCCAAACCAAGTGAGAAAAACAAACACTAGGGTCACTCTTGCCTTTGAACAATTTAAGGCATGTGTGTGAAGTCCAGAAGATGTTTGGTGAAGTTATGAAGCCATCAGCAGTCACTGCATGGGCTTACACTGTGTTATTTTGTGGTAGTGAGAGCTCTGGATTTCTTCACCCAAACATGGGATGTACTATCTATTTTTCCCTTACCTTCTCTTTGAATCCTCACAATTCTTTTGTTTATTCCTTTCTCTAATGTATTTTTCTGTTCTTTCTATCCTTTAATTCGTGGCAGAGATCCCTGCAACCCTCTGTGACTCCACTTGGTGCATTTTGACTGCTTGTGCCATGTAAGGCAGGTCAGTTGGTGCTGTAAGCTTGAAATACCCCCGGGAGACTGGCACAGGCACTTCTGGCAGGGATGGGAGAGAAAGGGCCTCCTTTCTCCTGCCTGCACACAAGGTGCAGGTGCCAGCCAGCATCTTTGATACAACATTGACTTATATAAAGAAATTCTGCAGAGAAAATCCTGATTATTTCTGTAAGATGAAATTACAGTGGCCTAAGCACATCTGATGGTACAAATCCAGTCGTGAGCCTTCCACATATTTGTCTGGGGCACCACCTGGAAATCCTAGATTTTCCAGGAACTAGGGGCACCACTGCTAACCACTTGGCTAAAAACTTCCGTTTGGACCTACTGTAATAGTGCTGTGTACAGCTGAACAAAGCAGAGGAACCCCAGCACCAACCCCAGATGGGGATTTGTGGGGTGAGGGCAGTAGAATGTCACTGGGAGTGCAGAAGGCACAGTTACATTATCACCACCCATCTTCTACCTTCTGCCGCAGCTTTCTTTGTGGATCCCCAAACCCTCACATTCCTCACCCCCGTGCCAAGGCCAGCAGGCTCATCATCCCCACTCAATGTTTTGTGGCCTCTCTGCCCCACACAGGCCCTTAGGGGTACCAGACTGCTACTTCTGCCTCACTGAGACTGGCTTATCTATAAGGAAGAGCTGCAAAATATCTGGAGTGTAGAAAGAGCTGGTTTTGTCATTTTTCACTACTCCCATTTCCCAGTTTGATGCTTCCTCCCAGCTGTGGAGCTGCACCTCTGCACAAGTGGACAGTGTTACAAATTATAACTCTTGCCCAAGAAGACCTAATGACAGGGACACTTATTTTACAGGGTGTCACAAAAACAGAGGGTCTGGAATCCCGGGATTCCAGTTTCGGACAACACTTTAGAAGATAAATGAGGAGACTAATTATCTTAATTTATTCCATAATTATTTTAATTATTAATCACTTCCTTCTTTCTTACCTATTATCAGGTTTACAGGTGGGAGTGTTCCCAAGAGTCCTGAATGCAGGCTCTGCCCCTGGCATGCTCCCGTGACTCACCAAGTTGGTCTTTATCTCTTCCCACACCTTTCATAACTAGACTTTCTTGAAGCTGCATCATTGCTTCTGGGGATGCAGTAAGGAGGCTATACAGGCATACCTAAGTTGACTCACTTGGGAGAAGATGTCTTGCTCCTTCTGCACCGTTCCCTCTGTGGATGGTTTTAGACAATGACAGGGCCAGCTCTGGTAAAAATTCATGGACAGTGTAGGCCGTGGCTCCTGGGTTAGCAAACAAGTTTTTTTTTTCAGGCAAAGACTTTTTCAGAAGTATTATATGAGTTTAAGGAAGGCTTTGTAAGGGTTTTCACATAAGATATTTGCTCTTTGCTGCTTTGGCCAAAAATGACCACGTGAAGCTGGGACCTGCTAAGGCGGCACCCACCCAAAGCAAAGGCTGGCTCCAGCTGTGCTGCGGGACAAGAGCTGCACAGCACAGCCACACTGCACCAGACAATGCCAATGCCTCACTGGCCACTGCTCCTTGGCAGATGCTGGTGGCACCAGGCACCCTGCAGCTCAGGGACAAACAGTGGTGGCCATGCTGAGAGTCTCTGTATGTGGGTGTGGTGCATTCACAGTCTTCCAGGGGAGGTGCTGCTGCCAAACTGTGATGGGCAGGGAAGAGAGAGCTGTGCTGAACGTGTGGAGGCAATGAAGCCATGTCCTGGTGTCACAGGCACACGGGAAAGAGAGGACTGAGAGGGAAGCGCTGACTGAGGCATGAGCAATAAGTAAATCAGGGAAGCAGGAAAAGACAAAGGAAGTCGGTGCTCACTCAGCAAGAATCTGCAGCAGTGAGGCCTGTTTATATGTATTAGTTGATAATATTTTGATGAGAAACTCAGGAAGACCATGACCTCCATTTTACATCAGACAGCCCTTCTCTGCTTCTTCCTGTCACAGGCAGGTTTTCACATAAGGCAGGCATCTTTCCAGCTCTGGTTTCAGCATCAATAACTATCACCATTTTCTGAGGCCACAAGTATGTAGCAAATAATAAAACCCCCAAATCTCACAGAGGAAGGAGTTCAGGCCTGGAGATTGTGCAAGCTAAGTTCTGACTGTGTCAAAGGGAAGTGAGGAAGAAGCAGTCTCTGGGTGGAGATAGAAACAACATGTGTTAAAGGGAGATAACTGCATATGGGACTTGTCTGTTTGGACACAGATCAGATCCTCGATCCTCAAAGCTCAGGAACATCTTCCATCTTTGGTGATTAAAAAATGGTGATTGTAGTGCTGAACTACAGAAACAGAAAATAATCTTGCCTTACCCTATTAACAGCAAGCAGCTCCAAGTGTCATAGCTAGAAAGGTGTTCCAGAAATATGAGAATTACTGAGACAATGGTATCGTCTGCCATATGAGCCTCACGCTCTGCCTCAGTTCTGTCCCTTTTAGATAGGCCAATGTATGACAGACTAAGCACTGACCAGGAGGCTTTGTTATGACACATACAGTAAATATGATTTTTTTGCCCTTGAAAACATGTACAATCTCAAACTGGTTCACTCCCCATTCTTCTCCATCTAATTTCTTTTTATCTACTTCTATTTACATCTCAGAACATTAAACTGTGTTGGGTTTTGGCTCCGTGAATAGGCACAGGGAAGCTGCAGTGAGCTAGAAAGCTGAATTTTATCTTTCACTGCGAGGTTGGGAGTGCTTTAGCTTGCTGTATTGTGCTGTCAGTATCTCAGTATTATCCTTTAACCTGACAACAAAAACCCTCCCAGTCTGTATTTGTTCCTGATGAGAGAAATGCAAGGAGAGAAGGAAACACAGACTAATCTTTTTTACTTCATAAGAGATCAGCAAAGTGAACGTTTCTTTTTTTTTTTTCTTTATTTTTACAAGGTTTTTAGCTATTAACATAAGCAATTTATATTGCTTATGTTAATATAACATAAGCATATCATAAAAAATTAACATCAGGGCTGCCCTTTTAATAATTACAAGCAAAGTTATTGCAACTGAAGAGTTGTAGCCTATCTTGTTACAGGAATTATTATGTATATTATCCTGGTTATTTACACATTGTAATTAACTGGGACTGTTTTGGCGCTTTGAAAATGTGATTTGTTAGCACTTACAGACACTTACCAAGATACAAACCCATGTAAAATGTATGTGAGTGTTAAGGATTCAGTTTGCTGAGATCAAACTAATGTTTTGATGAAAGTTTTCAATTTCCTGTCTCTAATCCAAGGGGCTTTTATATACATTAAATATAAAATGAGTTCATATTTAAAAGACTGACGAAAAATAGCTTACCAGGTATTCTGTATGCATTAGTCCTAATTTTTCTCAGGCCTGAATGCATCATCGTAACGACAGCAGTGAAAAGTCTTGTGCCATCCCTCAGTCTCAAATTCACATAATGCAGAATAAAGGCAAAGGGACCTGCACAAGCTGTTTTATCCATGTACCTCCTTACCTTGCCCTGCTGACATGGTGCAACATTTTCAAAGGAGTCTGATGTTCACCTCTTGTAGAGAGACAGACTTTCCTATAAACTGGTCCTGCATCAGACTAACAGCTTTAGCCAGCTGCAAGCCACCTCTGCAAGGATGAACTATACCAAACTATAAGGGGTTATTAAGTGGTTCTACTTAATACCATCACCCTTTACAGAAGGCATGTTGCAACTGATCTACCTCAGCTGATCAGAGGCACTTGATTCATTAAGATGTATTATGATTAATTTGAGCTGGAGGAGGTTAGGGCTTTGACTTTTAACAAAAATTTATCCAACGATTCCCGCAACAGAAAAGAGGCACGCATTGAAACACAAACTGCAGGAATCCTTATAATACACAGGTGATGGAGAGAAGTAGTAAGACCAAAAAATTGTACTTCCTAGCTGAAATCCTGGAAGAGGAAACAGGTGCAAAATAGTTTATTCAGGTGTGGCTGTAAGGAATGTAAAAAGAGAGACTCAGTAAAAGAATGAGGTGCAAGTAGGATGAAATTCCCAAAGGCTGCTCTTGTAATGTGGCTGTGGGGTATTACTGCTGCTAAACTACCTTCCTTTTCCCCTGGTGATGAATTATCAGCAGTTAACGTAAGATTAACTGAAAGAGAAATCTCATAACAGAGAATACAACAGCATATGCATTTTGTCTGATTTTTCTCATCCATACAGACATAAATGGTAAATAAAAAACCCCATAATCAACTTGAATATAAGCACTATGTTTTCATATTTAGTAGATGCATGGAGTATAGGCTGGCAAGCTTAGCTGCTCACATGGTGTCAAGAATTTTTGTGTTATGGTGTCTGTGCATGTATGTCACGTGCCGGTTTAGGGCGAGAGGATATTATGAAAGAAGCAGTTCATACTGACATTTTCCAAGCCTGAAGCAGAATCACTTGGAAAAAAATTCTAGGTAAAATGGCTTAGCTGTTTCTGAGAATTGGATTTGGAAAATATGTTGTTTTGAATGAATTAAGCCAAAGGTCTAATTTTTTCCTAGAGAAGCTCCAAGATGGTCAGGTTTTATTTGGCTGAAATGGCATCAGCAGTGCATCTTTCGTCATCCTTGTCAATTTGCCCAAATCAGAGCAAGTTACACTATTTAGAAAGCAGCACCAGTTTGCCCATGCCAGGTAGAGACATGCCAATGTGCAGGTACTGAATCCAGACAGTAATCTGAATCCTGTGTGCCACCAGGGCTCTGTCAGGAAGCACCTTGTTTGGAGGCTCTACAGCTCTGACTCCTGGCTTTGCAGACCTGGGAATAGCATGGGGCATCCAGAGTGAGGTGAGAGCTGATGGGGGAGACTGGAGCAAGGAGCTGGAGTGGAAGAAGTGGAGGTACACGGGGACAGGAGGAAGATATGAGCTCTGGCTGGAGGATGGGCAGGCTGGTGCTGACTAGAGTCAGCACCCTTGCAGTACTTAAATTCTATACTGCTAAATTCCCTGAGACACATAGGCAGCAGATTCATTATTCACTTGAATTCCTTGTGGATAATCCCACTCCCACACCATATTGTGATCTTGCCAATATCAACAATCCTGGCACTTCTAAGAAAGTAAATAATTATTTAATAAAAGCATTACTGAGTTGCTAAGATAAAAATTCCACATGGCAGAGAGTCATGGAAGACAGGTTTATTGTGCTGGACAACCATGAAAGTAGGTCAGATACATGCTTTCTGTAGATTCTTGATGGCTGTCACGGTGTGACAGCTACAGAAACAATTGTGGTAAAGCTTCCACTTTTATTTCTTGAACAGCTTTCTCACATAGATTCCTCCTACAAAAATAAAAATGAGAAAGAACAAATTCTAGAATTTTTTTTTTGCCACACTAATCAAGGCAGATAACAGGGAAAAAGAGAAGAACCAGGCAACGAGGAGGCCAACAAAACTAATCTATTATGAAAGTGTATGCCAAGTCCTTTTGGAGAATGCAGATTTTTACAGCTGGGAAGGAATGAGGATTCCAAAGTTCACTTTCGTGGCTGTTCAGTGGTAAAAAGAATTCCTAGCGAAGAGATGGATGGCACTGGGGAAGAAGAAAGAAAACATCCTGAAAACAACGCACACAGTTCATTAGCCAGGACAGCCAAAGGTGTTGCTGGGCTACTGCATGTTGCTATTATAGGTAAGTACATTCCACATCAAGATTTTTTTCCCCTTCACCCAATTAGGAGAAAAAAAGGAAAAAAAAAATAAAAAAGGCAAGCATAAAATAATCTAGAGATTTGTTGGCAGTTGGTATCTGGAGATAAAAAGCAGCAATTCCTTTAGCTTGACAATGTGAAAAAGACATGATAAATTCCCTCACAACTGATACTGCTATCAGACAATAATATTCAGCTTACTAGATAAGTAGCCTGAGCACAATACTTGAATTAAAGCATTTAATTCAATCTACTAAAGTAAAAGAGTTAGGAAGCATTCTGTAATACACAAGTGACCTCTTGACCTCTTTAAGAATAGCATGGTTTTTTGTTGGTTTTTTGTTGTTTTTTTTCCCTTTTTTTTTTAATCAAGAGGTTTAAGGCATCATCACTTTAGGAAAAGCTTCTGATTTTTGATCTGATAAAGTCCTTGTGTCAATAAAACATGCTTAAAATATTCATTCAATTCATTTTTTTCATTAGACTAAGTGCCACCACATTTTGCTACCAGCAAACTGAAAACATGATTTGAGGGAATAATCTCAATTATTACTTTCTGAAATAGGAATCTGTTGTATTTTACTGTTAGAAAGAACTAATTAGACTTGTTTCCTTATGAAATAGAACCTTGCTTTTCTTTAGTACAGAGTCAGTTATTTATCACAATCAGAAACAATGATACATTCCTAATGCTTCTGCACCCACCCCTGCTACAAGGGACACTAGAAAAAGCCCTTGCAGACTAGCAACTCTAGTCATTGTATTGTCCCACATGGTGATTTTTGTTACCACTTAAGCCCTCTTGCGTACATAAAACAGCTGTGAGATTACAAGCAAGATACTTGCTTTCCCACAAAGGTATGCACAAGCACAGTTAGACAAAAAAGCTGGTGAAGAGTTCCAGATGGATTTGTGTCTACAGTTACATTCTCTTCCAGCCTCTGCCTGAAGCACATGCCCCGCACACCACTTTTCCATCGCTTTCCCTGGCATCAGTAAGGAGTGGGCTGACACTGCAGCTGACATCAGAGGAACTCTTTCTTCCTGTACTGTGTGCATTCACACAACTTGTAAGACTTCTTCATATTTTTCCATATGAAATTTTACCAAAATTAACGAAGAGGGTCAAAGATCAGTAGGAAAAGGGAGAACCATCTGAGAAGCTTCATTTTTGTCAGGAAAAAAAAATTAAAAAAATCATGTTCCACATTTGAAAAAGAACCAATTCCAGATTAAAAAAAATGTTTTTGCTTAACGATAATTTGCACTCTGCCAGTCTGAGAAACACTGTAAACCAACCTGATCATGCACTGACACTGAATTAGGTAACTGGTGTATCCCACTGCCTCCATTCTTCAATGCTTGCTGCTGCAGCTGTAGCTCACCTCAAACAAGCTTTCTGCAGCCACATGAACTTTACTGGTACAGGTATCAAAACAGGCTGTTTAGCACTAGCCCAGCTATTCTTTCAGGAAATGCAGTCAACACCTTTACTGGAATACAGCATTAACTCACAAAAAGGCTGCAATGTTTTCAGATGCATTTGTTTCCACCTTATTGGGACAGAAACACATTTTATTCCAGAGATTGATGAAGGCAAGAACTGAGACTGGGTGAATTCTCTACCAAATTGCTTCTGGGTCTTTTTACCTGCCTCCATCCATTCCTTACAGAGAGGATTTCATGCTGGCTGCAATTAAGGATACCATAAATTCAAGCTGTGCTAACAAGTTAAGGTTTGAAGTTCATCAGAGGGACTTAAAACCCCTTATGATTAAAATCCACAATTCTGAACCACCACTAAATACACACTAATTTAATCTAATACAATTAATTTTCCACCAAATGTACCACAAAGGAAAAAATTCATGCAACATGAACCTTCATTTTTCCCCAAGGAGTGTGTTTTTACAGAAGTACAGATGTTCCTTCAGCTCCAGATAAGCAACTAGAGTATGGCCAGATACAAGGAGCAGGAGATGGTGACATGGGGCATCTTCTTCATTTAGTCCCATATTGATAGGTCAGCTAAGTTTTGATTCTTTTGCCCTATCTCTAGTTTGCAAGAGAGATTCAAGAGAGACTTGAATCCAAAAGGCATGAGATTTTACTCTTTCTGCAGTCAAATTGTTCCACATGGGTTACATTATGCTCTCTGCTAGGATTACAGTTGGTGGTCTTGCTCCAAGGGTTCAAAGAATATTTTACACTTTCTTCTAGCTCTCCACGGAAATCAGAGGAAGGAGGTGGAAGCAAGTACAAGGAAACATACAGAGAACAGCTTAAGGCATCTAAAATTTATAATTAATTAAAAAGGGGCATCCTACAGTTTGGCATTTTGAATCACTTTCTGATTTAAGGCAGAAGCAATCTGCCTTCACAGACTACACTTAAACTGCCCAAGAAACACTACTGTGTAAGCAATGCCTACTCATACACCCCTTTTCAGAGGTCTGTGCCCCAGTCTAGCCAGATGGTATTAAAAATGCAATAAAAAAGAACGCACTGCAGCCAACTTCACATATAGAAAGCCACCACATCCCAAGCAAGTTCCTTTCACCTGACATTGCTTTTGCCCTTATGTTTTGTCCTTACACATCAGAGCAGACTGAACATCTTCCCTAAAGCAAGAAATGGTCTCCCAGGGCAGGCACAGAGCATCTCAAACAATACAGCACTTTGGTTCTGAGCTCTTTCCTTTATGTGCTGTGTTCAAATCTGACACAACCAGCCCCTTGCTGTGTTGCAATTTCTAACACTTTCAATTCTCAGATTTCAGAAATGTTCAGGGACAGGAAAAATACCTCTTCCTACTAAAGAAAATAAACTAGTCCTCAACTTCCCACAATGCCTAAAAATTCTTGCTCCCTTGGGTGCCTTAACCAAGAGATTTAAGGTACCATGTAAATAAACAGTAAATTCCACATAATGTCCAAATTATTTTCAGGTACTACAAATTGTAGGCTGCTAGAAACAGTCTGAATCTGAAACTTCTTGCTGAGTTCATTCAGACACTTGAAAGCACACATTCCCATAGGAGGGGGAAAGAAAATGAGAAAAATGGAGAAGCTGCACCTTGATTGTTTTTAAACAAGAGTGCACATTTTTCATATTAGATTGCACTTTAAACTGAACTAAATGTCACCTAAGACTCCTCATAAGAGTTTATTTGCAGTCAGGAGATTAAGATTTCAGAACAGTCTTCTAAGAATGGAAGGGGAAAAAAAAGAAAACTTTGCTGTAAAACCAGAAATTGATTCAATTACGGACATACTGTTGCCTGTGAAGTAGATTATTAACTATGACCTCTGTCTTTTTTCCAGTCCTTAAAGAAAGGAATATATACTTTAACAGCACGATCTTTAAAAACCTAGTATGCTATAAATATTATTTCAACTTCAGATGATGTATGTGCAATATTACATATAAATGGAGTCACACCTCTCAAGAGCACAGCACTTCTAATTTGAGAGAAAACACCTCAGAATGGTGGAAACATCAGCGCTAATAAACCAGATTAATAGAAGGATACCTGATACCAAGGGCTCTTGGACATCACAGAGCTCTAGCAAAAAGAACATCTGTTATACCTGTACCTCATATTGCATCTGTCCCTATCAGTGTTACTTGCCAGTTTCTTATTTTGGCTTCTAATGGGCTTTGAGTTTTGGATTACCTGAAGTACTTGCACCTACTCTTAACATAAACTCATTATTTGAGAATGCATGAACGCTGTTCAATGAAACAGGACTTTGTGTGTGTCATTATCTAGTATCCTTCACTGGAAACAACTAACTCCAACACTATTAATCATCTGCCAGATTGAATACAGTTATCTTATTCCAGTAATTCTTATTCCAATGTATCTTCCAATATCTTATATTAGAATATTATATACTCCAGTATCTTATTCCAATAATTTGTGTTTTTTAGAGTGCCTCAAAAGCTGAAACAAAATCAGTGAATATGTTCTAGGAAGAATTACAGGCAACGTAAAAATGGAATTCCTAATAAGGAAACCAATGACCACAAAAATCAACCTAATCCAGAACTGTCTCTTTTCAGTAACAATGAAGTAAATTCATAGAACAGAGATACACTATTTCAACTCTAGCACACAAGGTGACTCTGAAGAACTCAGTTTGAGGGCAGAAAATTTCATCTAAGTTTTCATCCACAGTGAGACTTCAGAGCAAGAAGAAACAAACACTTTCTGTGCAACCTGTCCAAGTCACAGCTATAACAACTGCCAGGGAATGTCCTGGCATCAATGTCTAAAGCCATGAAAATGCCCCCAAATAGACAAAACCATGCTATCTAATTCTGACTCAAACACTCAGAGCTGGCAGAAAAAACGGACTCCGATTCATTTTGTGACAAACTGCAGGTGATGTTGGTCAAGAACTGCTCAAGACTGTATCACCATTGGGTTCAAAGCCACTACCACAGTTTGAAAAGAACACAAAAATATACCCGATCAATTGCAAATCAAAAGCTGCAGAAGCGACACAGTCAGCTCAGAGACACTGCAATGCAACAAGTCACCTTGTGAACAGCTGGCAAAGACTGCATTAGCTGCAGGTTCAAGAGTCAATATTACAATTTTGATCGTACTTCTAAATGGATGTGATACCAAATTACCTCAACATTTAAAGATTTATCATAGGACAACTGGAGTGCCACAGTATATATAGGACAAGCTTATATTTAGCTATGCCATGAATTTATAGTAAGCATCTTAAATGCTGACCCATACAGTGAATCAGACATCTTGTCTGGAACTGTACAAATGTGATAAAACCTTCTGAAACTCTCAATAAGAAACAGTAATCAAAAAATTTTTAAACCACTTTATTCAAACCTGAGCACCTCAATATAAAACTAAACACTGGTGAACTGTCATTTTTCTTGCTAAACCCAGATTACTGCAAATTTAAAATCTGCACAAGTAAGTTTCTATCAGTTCAACATTTAAATAGACTAATTCATCTCTTCTGACACACTTTGTAGATTTCATATAATGAAAATAACTAAACGAATTAGTGCAATATACTGGACTGATCAAAATAAAATGTACTTTGGAAAACAAAGTTGCGAAGTTCATTACTGACAGACAGCAGTACTTATGTTACAGATACAGGAGCATCATTTATTACTGTTCTAGCCATTAAGGAAGAACTCAGAACTCCCTTTGATTAGAGAGGAAAAAAGTTAGCTTTAAGTAACTGTACATTCTGTATACCTTTAAGCAACTCTTAAATATTACAGAAAGTATTAAACAAATGTAGACTACAATGCAGAGTACCTATTTACAGTACATTAATATCCAAATTTAAAATCAAGTTGGATGTACATAATTGTTAGTGCACTATGTTTTTTTCCTTAGGGGAAAAACAAACTGTAATGGCCAGCAATGATCAGAAACAAGAAAGAAGTCACAGACACCAAGTTTGTTGTGGTTTTACTTGAAGAGCTCTTACAGTTTGTAGAGGACAAAAAACCCCATATCCTAAGTTGTAGAGTTGAATTTACTGGTCTGTACCCTCTGAACAGATTAGAAATGAAGTTAGACTTGATTCATCACTAATTCATTAAGACAACTAACTGGGTTGATATAATTTACAGTGTACCAACTAGAACTCCACTTTCTGGCAAGCATAGGATTCTTAAAATTGTTAATGCAAGTATTATTTGTAATAAAATTATTAACCTATGGAATGTATAACTAAACAGTGGATACCTGCAGAAACAACTGGTTGCATCAATACTGCAAATAAGTTTAAGTAATTTTTAGACCCTGTTTCTAAGGAGGTTTTAAAGCACAATTGAAAATTATGAAAAGACCCAATTCTATTTATTATAACAGTGATCAGTATCGAGGCTACAGGAACTGGCCAATTAGGTCCACAGAAAGTATTTCTTCTACACCCCTAATAATAACAACTGATTTTTAAAACCTTTCAACTGAAGGAAGTTTATTCCGCTTCCATCTCTCCTCTACTGCTGAAACATTACAGCCAGTGGTGGATACATGCATGTTAAAATTTTAGGTCAAAAGAAAACTCTGTATCATGAACTTGACTATTATCGTAAGTCTCTTCGCTGTTTGGAAGCTGTACTGGACCAGGTTAAGCACTCCAATTCCATGGTTATTAACAGTTACGAAGCAGAAGAATATTCAGAACAGTTTAAAGCAATTGATCTTTTAGTTACTACAACATTGACTCTTGGGTGGTTGTGTGGGTTCAGTAAGGTCTACTCCTCTTCCTCTGGCAGAGCTGGCTCCTGCATTCTGTGGTTCATTCTTGGGCAATTTTTTTGCTGTAAGGTGAACAGGAAGTAAAGAATTAAACCTGAGATTTTACTAAGATTGAATCACCAGAATAAACAGAACAACACATTATAGGCATATCAGTATACTCATTGTATAATCAGATTTGATTCAGTGCATTGGTAATGGAAGAAGTGAAGACACTTTACTTCTTAATGATTAGCTACTTTGTCTGTGATTTCCAGGAGTGAAATACATTGGTAACTTGAGCAGCAAAATGTATCTGCACAGGTGTGCTATGCCAGCAAATGACAGCTCTTGCGGGAATCCACCCACACAGAACAGGCTTTAAGATAAGGATATTAATACAAAAATATAGAGGAATATTGAAAAGGCACAAAATACAGACAGAAATGGGTCAAACAGTTCCCAGATATCCAGCCAGAATAAGTGTTTGCAGACAACATATAAAATGGCCCTCAGCACCAGATCAAGCCACTCATTTTTTTCAAGCTGCCTCTTCTCTCCAGTTCTTAGGAGTCAATTGACTGGCAATTTCTTTGTTGCCCTTGTAGCTCCAAGGTTCCTCCTCAGTCTTAACATGAAAACTAAGGGTGAAAGCTGCCATCCTTCTGAGCAGTAACTTCTCCTAGATTTCTCTCTATCAGAAAATTGCTAAGTTCTACACAAAGGACTTCCACGGGCCTATCTTACCAGGGCCCAACAACCACCGTTGTTCTATAGGTTGGCTGAATGGCTTCCCTGCAAAGTAATTACTTCTGTCAGTTTTTAAAAGAACTTTATCAGCCAAAAAAAAAAAACAACTGCAGAGCAGACATCAACTTGTTGTGGTACCAGATAACCTCAGGGTGCTGGGCAAAAGGGTGGGCCACAGGGATCCTCTGAGGGCCCCTCCCACTTGGGCTGTTCTACAGTTCTGTGATAAAACCCAAGAATCCACATGGTACTAAGCTGCTAAGCCAGTACAAAGAGACAATGCACCAAACGAAAAATGTCTTCAGAGCAATGTTTTGGATTCTAGAGTTGTATCTAGAACTGAATTAACGCTGGGTTTTTGAACTGTGAGTTCTGAATGAGTGTTGAAAAAGTCAATTTACAAGCAGCTGCAGCTTGCATCCAACAGCTCTTTCAACATTCTCATTTTTTATTTTCTCTCATCTTTAAGATCATATTTGCACATGGTCCTGAGGAATTCATCCACATTTTGCAGGCTGTTCCAAATTACATGCAATACTTATAACCTCATCAAAATTTCCATTCAGAGTCTATTACTGCACAGATCTTGTTCTGATGCACTGACAAAGACGAATTTCACCCCACTGATGTAAAACACTCACATGGGCAGAAAACATTGCAGACACAGTTACTAATTGGACATTTTTTTCCTCAAATTTACTTTGTAGGCTTCATTAAAATATGGAGGCAGGAATTATTGTTGATATATCAAATTAAAGAAAAAAAATCAGATTTTGGGGATTTTTTTTTTTAAACAGGAAACAAACTGCACCATTAAACACAGTAATTCTGAAATTCCACCAAAACAATACAATTAAGCATTTCTGTATCACTAAATGCAGGCCTATCTTGAACATTTGTGAGAAAAATATACTTTCCTGTCATACAGTTAAGTGATTCTATCCCCTTTCTTCAAGTGTTTATAATAAATATGAAGCAAGTACTTGTTATAAAGTGTTGCTATACTGATAATTTAATTTGCATCTGCTGAAAGTTTGAAAGACACCACAAATTACCTCCTGCTCTCCTGACTTAGAAAGCAGAAGATTAAGACCTCTTTAAAAAAATTTAATTTTAATATCAGTGATGTTTTTTCACAAAAAAGTGGGTTAGAGAGGTGCAACAGAAAAAATAAAATTGAAAAAGTTTATTTAATGCTATACATTACTATTACCCACTAGCAAAGCATCTACTATAATTAAGGTTACTGCTAAATAGTTTATTGGCCAGCCTTGAAAATGAAATCTTTTTCCTCCACCTTCAGAAGTTTATTAACAATTGTATATAATTTTGGGTATCAATGGAACACACAAAAAAATCTTGGTTTATGCTTGCTACTACGTTAGCATCTTGACAGAAATCCCTAAGATTATGTTAAGTTAAAAATATATGAGTAGATTTACTTTTCACATGCAGGGTCCTTTATTTATAACTTGGACACTGAATCTAAGCACACACTGCCATCTTTGGCACAGCTTTTGGATTTCAGATAGGTGTTTAAACAAAATTGAACAAATGAAAAGGCCTAAGGACACTTCAATACCAGAAATAACTTATATGAAAAACACAGATCTTATGTTATGAAGATTGTTGTGGTCTGAATCTCATGAAAACCATTCCCTTTACAGTTCTCAGTTTGTTCATAAACTTACCAATTGCCATGAATATTTCATTGACGTTCATAGATGTTTTGGCAGACGTCTCCATGAACAATAGGCTGTTGTCATCTGCATAAGCCTGTGCTTCCTGAAATTTAATGTAAGAATACAATACTTCATCAAAACAAAACAAAACAACCTCATACAATCATTACTCACTGTACTTTTAACTGCTACAAAGGAACAATCTCTACAGCATTTTGAAAGAATGACAGTTTGTGGAAACACTCATCTGACAATGTTATACACCAGGTATGGAGAAGTTACAATTCCACCAATCCGTTAAACAATTAGAAGTGGAACCTTAAAGATCCCTACTAATCTTAAAAATATCCAGGTGGAAAAATCTCAGGCGAAACTAAATAATAAATTAAAATATTTATGAAGGAGACAACCCCAATGCAGAACATTAGCTCTGACAGTAAGAACAAAAAAACTTCAGAAAGTGCCATCAAATTTCAGCAAGTCCATTATTACCCTGGAAAAAGGTAGCCTGTGAACTACCTTGAATCTTTCAACCACTGAGGCAGATGGATCAGAACAGTTTTTTTACCCTTATACAAATTCACAATTATAGCAAATAAGCAGTATTCAAGTATTTTGCCACGTTACCTCCCTTTTCAGTATGAATTTTAATCTGATACACTGCTCATAAGAACCTTACTATTTTTGCCCCTTATTAGTCAATTCAGCTGAGAATCTCTAGCTTCTTATGATTATGTAACCGCCTTTGCATTCGAAAAGAAATCTGCAAAAAAGCTGAACTACAGAACACCTATGATGGTAAGAATAATCTACAGCACTCTGTAATTGTGACACCTGCTAAGATCCATGCAATTATATCTGAAACAACATATTAACAAGTACCTAGAATCTGTGATTTGCAATGAGAAAGGCCTGTCAGGCCCACAAGGAGCCCATAAATCCACAGCAGCAAACCCCCTAACATTTGAAAAACATGAAGACTGTAATTGTTCAAAAAATGGTACATGTAGGTCTACTCTGGTAATTAAATGTGATTACATTATTAACTGCAGTCATGTAT